AAATTTTTATTCAAATCTAATTTTTAACAAAATTTATTTCGATTTTTTGGCGTAACTCGAGAACAAATAATCGCATATGTATTTTTTTAGATTCTGAGTAGAGCGATGAATGCAATAATTTTACAATAATGTGGTTTTTTTTTGTGTTTGTAAACACTTTTTAGGACAGTAAAATGTTTATATTTTCAAAATTGGGAATGATTTTTGGTAAGAAATTGAACCTAATTAGTACTTTGTAGAGTTAAAAGTATAATTGGGAAAAACAAAAAAAAAAAAACTTGAGGAAAAAATGGATTTTTATACAAATCTAATTTTTGACAAAATCGATTTTTTTTTTTTTAGGTGTAACTCAATATAGAATAATCATAGATACATGAATTTTTACCGAATGTTATATTGTTTTTATTTACGATGACATTTTTAATTTTTTTCTAGAAATGTAGATAAAAAATTATTCAGTATGTAAAAATACATAAAGTTCTAAAATTTGAATGTAAATGATGTACGTAATAATGAATTTTTTTTTACGTGTATTTAAATTTAAAAATCAATGAATTTTATTTTCGCATAATTGATTGGTAAATCATGGATATTTATTTCACGTGTGTTCAAAACACGATATTTATTAAATGTGTTAAATTATAAAATAATAAAAAATATATATGTTAACAATTGACATAAAAAATTAAAAACTAAATATATTTGTACTTACTTTTTATTTTAAAAACTAATGTTTCATAAATTGTTTTGTCGTAAGAAGACAAAACGAGTAAAGCAAATTTTTAAATTTTTAAATGTTTAAAATAAATAACTTATAATCACTGTTGTGTAGAAACTAGAAATCATTAGAATATACTAAATGCATTGAAAATTTAATACAATGCTCTAGAAATTTGACATTTATAAAAATCGAGAAAATTAGGAAATTATTTTGTAGTTAGAAATTCATAAACAGTTTTGTTTTTATACCTAAGATTTGAAGATTTAATATAAAGTTTTTTATACGTTTTTCAACCTAAAAAAGATAAAAAGTTCTATCGGAAATGCAAATACATTTTTTATGAACATTTGAAGTTTTTTACAACATTGAATATTCATTTGTAAAATAGTTATTTCTCCTCTACATTTTATTTTTTATATTTTGTTGTATTTCAAAAAAAGTAATTGTAGATAGGTACTTTAAATTTTTGAAAATTTTTGATGTTATTATGTTCATTATATCATAAAATTTACAATATTGTTTTACTCTTTTTGAGCTATTTATATGTTTTTTTTTTTTTGTTATTGTTAATTAAAAATTTTTTGCTAGTTCGAAATTTTTGAAAATTTAACACATGATACCATTTAAGTAGTTCGTATTCAAACCATAAAACTAATACAATCTAGTAAGTATATTCCGTATAAATTATTTTTATTGACAATTTAAATTCAAATTTGAATGACATAAGGTATTTTCTTAAATATGAATAAATAATATAAATAGCAATATTTTATTATAATTCAAAAACATTATTCGTGGGGACATAGAACATGAGAGCATTTACGTATGTTAATTTATTTTATACACTGAAAGACATTTTCAAATGCAATGTTTTCAGAAAAAATTTTCAATCTATAGTATTACTAATTGTATAATAAATTAATTTACCTAATCATAAAATCAAAAAAAAAATCACATGAAATACATTTATTGAAATAGGATAATAGACTATCTCCCTTCGAAATCGTTTTTCGTAAATTTACATATTCATTACTATGACCAGTATGACCCACTCGAAACCTACTGTACAGCATAGCAGTACCCTCTTGTCCATCTTTTTTTGAAATCTAAGTATAAAATAAAGTATTTTTATTTTGACCCTTTTTATAATTGTATTTATATTGTTTACACATAATAATTACTTTAATACAATTAAATAGGTGTTTATAAATTTATAAAAAAAATGTTATTATTAAATAATAAAATAAAAATAATCTGGATAGTTTCCAATTCTGTGTTTGGTCAGCACAGTTTAAATAAGTATCTAAACATTTTGTCTTTTAAATCAGTGTCCAGCGTTTACTGTCGATAATGTTTTTTTTAATATTTATTAACAATTAAATATACAGTATAAATTAAATAAAAATAACGATATACTATTTAAATTATAACTAGGTGAAAACAGCATGAGTATAGGTACACAATTAAAAGGAAGTAAATAAAAGATTAAACCAATATTAAGTCACGGTATTATAATATACCGAATAAATAATGTAATGTAATTATAATTATATTTTAATGTAATGTAATTTTACATTATTTACGAATCAATATATGGAACGAATGATTAAAATTGAACTTAGATTCACGTTTCATGAGGAAGTACTTTGAATTGTACACTTGCTATACAGTAATTCTGAAGTATATAAAGGTATGTAAAAAAGCACAGATAAGAAGATAAAAGTTGCTAAAAAAAAATTAGTAATTACACAATTAATCATCACAGTCATGATTTATTTAAGAGTAAAAGCTGCAAAATATTGATTATAATCTAAGTTGATTTTTTGCAAAGTACAGATCATTTTCCACAACATAAAACTCTATATAATTACACATACAAAACAGAGACAACAAAGACAGTTAAAAGAAATAATGAACTTGGTTTTACGCTTGATAAATCTAAGTACTTTTGGGGCATGAGGTGTATGACTGTATGAGGTACTCTGGATCCATGAGTTCACCATAAAATGAATACATAAAATGTAGTCCGAACTCCAAGGTCTTTTATTTGTATTTTGTGTAATATGGGCAAATATTATTATTTGTACTAAATGTAATTGTATAGTTTTATACCTACCTTCTTAGCTTTTAATATAATTTATAATTCTGCTTTTGCTGCATCACCTATTTGAAAATTTAAATTCTATTATAACATCGTGATTATCATAAGTGTTATTGATTTTGTAGTTTTATATACTATTGTTTGCTAAATGTGTTTTATTAAAATAATATATTTATTTTTATAATGTCAAATAAATTTTTTCATTTTACAATAATAATTATAATATTCCTATTAATAATGAGTAATTTTCAAATATGTTCTAAAGAAAATGATCAAAGATAGTTTTGGTAGATACAACTGCAGCAATTCTAATGACATTCGTAAATTTATTTTAACCTAAGTTCTTTACTTTTTCGTATATTGTTATGCTGTACGTGAATCATAGTGAGAAAACAAATATTACGTGCAGGAGTGCTGACATTTTCTCAATAGTCTTAATCTTTAATATAAATTTACTCAAACGTTCGGTTAATTTTGTGTGCTAATCATAATAAGCAACTATATGTATCTTTACTCTGGTAATTTTTTAGGTTCGAAAATTCTTATAAGCACTTTTCAAAATATTATCTATTTAATAATATTAAATGTATTCATATATACGATGCACATATTATATAAACTCAGTTCCATTTAAATAAATTAAATAAACTCATTCATCACTCATATTAAAAAAAAAAATGTTTGATTAGATTGTACATATCATATTCAAATATCTCAATAATAATTGTGTCTCCTTTGGTTTTCTCTTCTTTACATGGTACCGTGCACATTGCAAAACATCCCGCAGTCTGCATAATATTGCATGTAATTTATTTATTATTTTCGATCGTGTGTCCTGATTTTTACGCACACGTAACGCTGCAGGTCACGTGGTCCAATAACAAACGCACACGCAAATCATTCATTATTTTCCCGCAACAGAGGAAACAACAATATTACAGTGATGGCATGTTGACATACACATACGCCAATACATTGTATCTAGTACCTAATAAGTAGAGCTCGGAACTTAATACATTTAAAAAGTACTAAATATATTTGCACTTATGCGCTTATAATAGTAAAAATATGCTTAAAAAAATATGCACTTATTTTCATAATTACAAAAATCTTATAATTTGTAGATACTAAATATTAATATTAAAAACAAGAAATTGTATGTCGACTAGAAATTTAAAAAACACGATACATTAATACCTATTGAAAATCCTCAAAATAAACATACTTTATAAAGTATTTATTTTTTTTACTGTCAAATTTAAAAATTTTATTATAAACATATTATTAGTCATCACTCATCAAATATGTTCTAAAAATTGTAAAATTGAAAAATATGTTCTTAAAATTACAAAATTATTAAATATGCAAAATTATGCACTGGATATAAACTTTTAATATTTTTTTCGTAGTATCGTGAAATTAATTTTAACTTTACTTAAATCTAATAGCTCCCAAAAATATGCTAATTTACGAGTAGGTATTACAATAATAAGTAATAACTAATAAGTAATATCTAGACAATTACGAGATAAACGTAAATCGTCTATATGATATAAATGAGTCATGGATGCTTAATCACTTAAATGAAAAAATAAATACTTATTAATAATAAAAGTTAAAATAATATTTAGGTTGAATAAATTAAGAGTTACGGTTTATAAGTATTTAAACATGGGACGATGTATGATGAATTGTTGATTTTTTTCGTAAGCAAGTTCAGTAGTTTTTTTAGAAATTTCAAGTTTAAAATGTCAATTAATTCAATTACCATAATTATATAAATCTAGTACTTGTAGGTACTATACAAATAAAATATTAATAATAATAGGTTGCGGAATTTCGAATTTGTACAGTTAAAAATAGTGGTATTTAATAAAAAAAATAAATATTTTTTAAAAAACTGTACTAATTAGTACAAAACGCAGTAAAGTGAATTTTTTAAAAAAAAATTTGTTTTTTTGGTAATCTTTTTTAAGCTTTCAAACATTGTTCTATCCGTGCGAATAGTATTTTCCCTAGCGGTTTGGCGCGGAAAGCTAAACGGACCAATGGGAGTACAACACGGTGCCCGACCGGTCGGCCTACAGCTGCGTTTGTTGTCCATTGCGTCAGAGTTGAATACAGGTGCCAAGACGGCTGCACACCAAACGCAGCAGCTAAAAAATCCGTTATCATCGTCTTGTGTTATCAGTTGTCACAGCGGCGGTGGCAACGGACTTGGTTTTGGTGACCCGCTCAGAGTGCTCAGGCCTCAGACTAGTCAGACACCGTTCGCGTACGTCGTGCGTCACACGCACCCCGGATGTATTATCGTTTGTTCATCGCGTAGGATGCGATAGAAGTTTTTTCTGGATCATCACGATTCACGACCTGCCGCCGCATACGTAGATACGCCCGATACGTCTAAAGGAGTGAAGTGACTTTTGTCGTCGCCGTTATGGATACGTGGCATAAGATGCGGCTGAAACTGTACTCCACTTGTCTGTTTTTCTTGGCCTTGGACTGTTCGGTAGCCATGGGTAAGAAGTGCCGCTGAGCACTCCCGAGTGTTATCCTTGGATACGTCGGTCAATAGGTTTTGTGTGTATTTATTTTTCGTTTGACTCGCAGGTTCCGATGTCGAGAACCATTTGGACATGGGACGCGATTTCCTAGCTCGTGGACAACTTCAAGATGCCCTATCCCATTATCATGCCGCTGTGGGTAAGTGAATATGTTGTCTTATTGGCAAAATAAATGCTTCATCTTTGTTAGTTAAATACCATTAGTGTTGAGTGTTAATAATGTTCATCTATCCAATACAATTTTCTATATTAATATTTGTGGTCTATCTGTTTAATATAATTTTTAATAAAACCATAAAATATACTCATATTTGAATTTAATAAATTCTAAGGATATTATCTAAGTAGGCGCCTTAATTATTTTAGCCATATTGCATTTATGTATTAGGTAGGTAAGGAAGTCATTGGTTTTTATCATTTTTATTCACAATCTTAAATATATTCTGTGCTTTCATTGTATGCTATAACTTTTTGAAAGTGATTTTCTGAATATTTTTGCTAAGTTATTGTTACATTTAAAGTACTTTCAGCATTTATTTTGGTTTAAATATCAATACTCAATAGCTGCTTATCAATTATTTATACCTTTTATATCACATATTTCTTAGTAACTGACAAATTATGATGTATTTATTTTTAATTTTAATGTTAATAAGAAAACAAAATAATAATCCAAGTCTAGTTATAATTTTTATTATATATTTTAGTATGATATGTAAATAAATAAAAATGTACCTTGCTAAGTAATAACTTTTTTTTTTTTGCAGAGGGAGATCCAAATAATTATTTAACTTATTTTAAAAGAGGTACAGTTTATTTAGCTCTAGGAAAAGCCAAATTTGCTTTATTAGACTTTGGAAAAGTTCTTGAACTCAAACCGGATTTTACAGCTGTAAGTAAAAATAAGATTAATAATGATAATTTTTTTAAATTTTTAAAGTTATATTATATGTTGTATTTTATATTTATTATCAGGCACGTTATCAAAGAGGTGTAGTCTTGATGAAACAAGCCTCAATCGAAGATGCAAGAAAAGAACTGTACAATGTGGTAAGTATAAACATATTTACTATTTAGGCATTTTTGTCTATTAATTTTATAAATTATAAACATTTTAGTATATTGCCAATGGTGATTTTTCACGAGAAGCATACGATTTATATTCAAAACTTGATGGTCTTGCCTATGATATAGAATTAGCCACCTATTATCAAGAGAACAATGATTATGAAAGTGGTATAAATTCATTGGATCGTCTTATAGAACATTGTCCCTGGGCTCCTTCATTACGTGAACAACGATCACAGCTATATTTAAGTTCTGGAAATGTGCAACATGCTATCATGGATTTGCGGACAGCTACTAAACTCCAAGCCGATGATACAGACGGCCATTACAAATTATCAACAATTTATTACAGTATAGGAGAAGTATCTGAATCTCTAAAGTAATTATTATTTATAATTTGTTATCTTTATCATATTGTATAATAATAAATTATTTTACAGAGAAATTAGAGAGTGTTTAAAATTAGATCCAGATCACAAATTATGTCACACCCACTATAAAATTGTTAAAAAAATTGACAGACTGATAGTAGACAGCCAGTCAGCACTTAATATCAAAGATTTTTCCAGTAGTATTCAATTTGCAAAAAAGGTAAAATATTTGGTCTAACTAAAATGTTAAGTTCCACTCAAAATCCCTAGAATATTAGTTTTGTGGTTTAAGATAAATTAAATTTAGATTTATAAATTGTAAATACTATGTAATATGCAGTTTATACAGTTAAATTCAATTTATAAATAATTTAATATGAAAGACAAATTTAATTTTTCGAAGAATAGTATACTGAATAAATTTAAGATTAGTATAGTATAGTATTTATTGGTTTTTATTAATAAATGATTCTTTTTGTTATAATTATTTTGTAAAAAATTAAATTTTAAGTATCTTTTGCCTAAACTGTAAATAATTTAAAGCTAATTTATGTAAGTATTTTTAAAGGCTCAACAAATTCTAAAAGTTTTAAAGTTTAAGACAATATTTACATTTTTATTATGAACTATAAACTTTCTATTATTTTTGTCTAAATTATTATACTTTAGTCTAAAGTAAAATAACATTATTGAAATTATATTTTTTATTCATATAAAATTAATTGAGAAACAAAGTTACGAGGTGAAGCACTTAAATATTATATAAACATTTCATATACCTATTAAATAATTTAAATAATTTTTAATTTTAGATATTAGACTTAGAAAAAGACACTCAAAACATAAGATTTTTAGCCTTGGAAAAACTTTGCCGCAGTTATCAACATACAGATGAATTATCATTGTCGCTAAAATATTGTAGCGATGCATTAGAAATAAGTCAAACACCAGATCTCTACTGCCTGAGAGCAGAAGGATATATTGCTAACTCAATGTTTGATGAAGGTTAGTACAATAAACAATTTTTTTTTCTTATTCTAAAGGTAGCTAAGTAGCAGTGGCTCAATGACTAGTAATATTTTGAATTTCATTTGTGTAGTTCTACAAAAAAAAAAAATCTAATAAGTATGTAAATTTTGAATAGCTGACGGATAGTCAATAACTCAAAATAATTTTCAAATTTCCTATATAATAAAACAATTATCGATACTATATAAATAAATGTTTAATTTATTATTATTTATTTTTAACAAGCTATATCAATTAAATTTATAATTTATAAGTTTTGGATTTATTAATTAAATTAAATTTATAACTTAATAATCAAAAACATTTTATTTTGGGGCGGTAGAGTAAAAATATTATGTGTTAGTAGATAAAAAAGTTCAAACCTTCATATTATTATTCGTTCTTAAATTTCATATGCTGTTTTTCTGAACTCAAATTTAGTATGTCGTAAGATGAAGACTTTACTTGTGGCCATGTATGTGTAGATGATAAATGTATATATTATTTACTAACATTAGTAATTACATATTTATATTTTATGTTTAGCGATTAGAGATTTTGAGCATGCACTTCATATCGATCAGGAGCATAGACAAGCAAATGAAGGATTAAAAAAAGCGAAAAACTTACAAAAACAAGCAGAAAGAAAAGATTATTATAAGATATTAAATGTAAAAAGAACTGCCACCAAACAAGAAATAATTAAAGCATATAGGTATGTTTATTTGTGTTTATTTTCTATTTAAAATAATTAATGACTTATAAAATATTATACATTTTCAGAAAAGCTGCTCAACAATGGCATCCAGATAATTTCCAAGGTGAAGCCAAAAAGAATGCAGAGAAAAAGTTCATTGAAATAGCCTCTGCCAAAGAAGTTCTGACTAATCCAGGTAATAAAATGAACTTGAGTATAGAATAATAGTATATTATTATTTATTACATTATTTTTTTGAAAATGTAAAATGAGTTAACACTAATAACACATTTTTTTTTATGTAAAATCAGAAAAACGAGAACAATTTGATCGTGGTATCGATCCATTAGATCCAGAATCTGGGCGTCATCAACAAGATGGTTTTAATCCATTTCAACAGTTCCATCAATTTCATGGGAGCCCATTTACATTCAAATTTAACTTCAACTAATTTATATTATGGTACAAAAACAAACATAGGTGCCATAATGAGTTTTGTTATCATCTCATTGTCTAGGGTTCAAAAGGCTGTGTATGGTAAAATGTAAATAGAGTAATGCATAGAAAATGTCATTGTGTATAACAAAAAACGTATATTAATGTATTGTACATAGTAAGTAATAAACAATAACTTCCAATTATTATTGTAACACGATAACTTATAATTTATTTGACTATGCAAGTAAAATAGTTAACTGACATTTTTTCTATAGTTAACATCTTCAAACTCTATTCTATATCACTGCAATAATTTTAAAATTAAAAAGATTGATAATTATTTATAATTATTCTCTGTTTTGAGTTTCTTTTTTATAAATAATATATTGATCTTATTACATGGTTATTGTGATATTTATTCACAATCAACAATTAGATTAAAAAATCAAATAATATTAAAATAAATTTATTTTAAATTATTATTTTTTTTATATATACATAAAAGATTTTAAAGATATTTGTATCTAAAGTCTTATAAGTTGTGTAATTTTTATCTGTTACTGAAATAATGTGTCTAGTCCAATTTAAATTCTTTAGAATCATTGATATAATAATATTATTTTCACGCATACACCGTTTTAATTGTTATTTCAATATATTGTCTGTTAAAACCTGTAAAACAAGTATCATCAATATAGGAATGAGAATTGCTTGTTACTTGATATAATATAAATGTTAATGATTCAAATATTAATATTATTTAACAATATGATTTTTTTTTTCTATAAACTGTCATTGACACAATGGAAAATTTGATAACCATTTTATTTAATTTTATACGTGAACTGATTGTGTACATATTACACATTGTACTCGTCTCATTGTTGTTGACTTTTTTTAATTTAACGTTTAATTATGTATTTAGATATTTTTTTACATCAAAATTATTAAAACTATTTCCCAAGTCTCATATATTTAATTTTATTTATCAAAACAATTCTTGTCTGATAATGTTTAATGCTATAAATCAGTTCAATACCTATTTGTTTTTTATAATAGTAGTTTACAAGGTGTGTTGTATGCTCGTTAAACAAGACTGAAACTTTTTTTTTTTTTGCCGAATTTCCTCTTGCAAATTTTATAATTTAAGTTTTAACTACCTATTACATACACCATACTATTTATGTACTTGCATATTTTAGTAATCTATTTTGTGTGTTTATTTAAACAGTGTAATATATTGTAGCTGGTTAATAATTAATAATCTCTAATATATTATTATTGAATGGTTTATTGCATAGGTAACTTATTTAAAACAGAATGAAATAATAAGTCTAAAATACTTATCTATGTAGCTGTTAACTCCACACATCGCTTATTATTATTCGTTAAGATTGATTTTATAATTTTTTTTTTACCTATTGTCTGTCTTTAATCTACATATATTTTGTAAATGCAATATTATATTAAACGTTATTAAACAGCATTATACGTAATATTTTCAGCAATATTTTTACTTAATATTTTAGTCTAAAAACATGGTATATATTAAAAAAAAAAAATAAAGCACAGGCAAAAAAATTTTTTTTAAAGAAATCAGGATCTGATTTGGTACATCATACATCAATTTATATAAATCTGAGTGACGTCAATGATGACTGTAATATCATAAAATAGTTATTGTTAGTTAAAAAATTTAAATGTTAAAGTAATTAATCAAGTATTTCATTGTTTAAAATGTATGCATTTAAATTTCAAATAATTCAAATGGAAATATGATCAATGATTTCAAATGTTTTCTGATTTGGTTATTTTTACAAGATCATAGTGTCATGGTATAACATGACTTTTTATCATGTTTACAAATTTGATATATATATATAATATTTAGGTCCAAAAAAAATCTAGTTAGAATTTCTACACGTTTTGTTAATTTTCCCAAAATTATATTTCTAGTTCTTACCTCTATAGTCCATAATAAATGGCATCTAAAATAAAAATCCTTTCAAAAAATAAAATAAGTAACACTTAATTAATTTTTAATTAGGTATTTAAATTTTATGTATTAGTACAGAGTGCGGCAGAAATAACTCCCTTGTGTAATGAGATTGTTTTGTAATTTAGGCTCGTGTTGAGATAAACTAATAACATTTATATGGTACAAAGCTTTATTTATGCCATTATTAATATTTATTCTGACCAGGAACTATCATCGTACATTCGTACACATTGTGATGGCTTACGTGTGCACAACAGTCACAAGTCACAACGCATGTTACAATCTTCGCCTTGCTGTGTCTGTGGGTATCGATAGATTATTGTATTATTATTTTATGAAACATAAGCTGAATTTATTGTTTTGCACAGTTATTTTTATTTAAATCGTTACACTAAGTGTGACTATTAGCTATTTAAGAGTTGTACGTGTAGATAGCGTTTATATTACTGGTCAATAATTTATGAGCAAGTCATATTTTAAAAATGTATTAAACGAATAACGATTTATAATTTATAATAGCTATAACTCGACAATACAAAAAAAAAAATGAAGACAACATATTTTTGTGTACACGCCAAAATTGAAGTCCTATTTAAAATAAACAACAAACGAGGACGTATAATAGGTAGTCATCGCACAAAGTGGCTCATAAGTCATGACGTTCATGTTTATATGTGCAATAACGGTGGTGACGACGACGACAACAAAAACACGGGTGAAGTATTGCAGAATCGGCGACGCGGCTAGCCTGTCGGAATTTCCCAAGGCGCAAGCGAAGAAGTCAGCGAATTTCGCTCAGGTCCTATGACTTCAGATACTCGACAATAATATTATGATAATCATCGAACCACCACCCCGTCGGCCATTTACGCATAAAATGTTTACAGCCGGTTAAGTAAGTATACTAGGATTTTATTTTTAATCTTCCTTGAAGCCTGGTTATCACTAAAAGGTGACGAAAACACACAGAAAAAAAATATTTTAAATTAAAATTACATATTAATATCAATAAATATTTACTACTATGATTTACAAGAATTATACATATATTTTTTTTTTTTGTTAAATCTTTGATAGTAATTATCTACAACTATAACCATTTATTCTAAGTAATTTGCAGTAAGGAGAATCTATATATTTATTGTACTCGATTGGGTGTATATAATTTAAACACAAAAAACCGCCATAAAAAATTAATATTGTCAATAATTAATTATATTGTAACAATAAATAAGTATACCTTATTACCTTGATATTTAGTTATAGTTTATACGTATATCGAAATAATTATCGTGTTTTATAAATCTACTGAAATTAATCGTATGACTAGAATTCTTAGTTCTGATGACTATTTTCAATAATTTAAAATGCTAAAGAGAAAAAAATAGATACCCCATTAAATGGTTATCGTACTATTTTAGGTTACCTACCAAAATTACCATTACATTTTGTCATAGATATATTAAGTGAACGTATAAGTCACTTAATAAATAATATTATGTCAATACATTTTGTAAGCAGAAAATAATGATGATAAGTACCTACTACCTATAACAGTAATCTGAGTAATCAGTTGGTAGACTGCTGTTATTGTTTATGTGTAATACCTTAACAAAAATTGAAAATAAAATATTTTAATCAAAGGTCAAAACATTACTATGTCATTTTCAGTTTTAGTATTATTTAATTTTATATTTCAAATCAATAACATTTAATTGCATTATGGTAGTTATTTTTCTTAACATTTCCTTTAGTAGATACTACAATATTACAATTTGTACCTATTGATAAAAAATTAATCGTTTTTAACTAAAATTTTAATTTTACGTCGGCCATGAAATCCCAAGGCCAATGTTACATACCCCCAAAAATGCACAAAAACGAAAATTTTCAGAAGCGAATAAAATATTGTTGTGATTACCGTGCAGGACACTACGCGATCTGTTCCATACTAATTATTTAACGATGTTGCATGTTTCTGGTCCATTTGTAGTAGTTAGTGAGGAAAGTAGTTTTAAATAAATAAAACATGAGTGTTCAAAATGTTAATAGTTAAAACAATTAATTACTTATTAGTTATTAGACAATAGAATAATAATATTACTTATAGCTTAATGCTATTACAAAAAGCTACTAAGGCTAGAAATGATTATGTATTCGCGGCGACGTGGCTTGACAATGTCTAAGACAAGCAATAATCAAATAACGGGGTAAATAGTCAGATTTTAAGCTGTGACTACCTTCTGTTAGTGTTTGGTGTCCGACTCGTATTTATGTGAATCGTCTTATCGATGATAGGTATATATGGGCATATGGCGGTGTGATGTTAATAATAGCTGGAAGTCTATTATGTAAAATTTACTATTTACTAATTAGCGTAAAATGGCAAAAACATGTTACCTATTATGTTTCTTTTACTCTTTAACCTCCTTATTTCTAGAAATGTTTATTCCTTAGTTACATATTATGCTGACTAATTAGTATAGGCTGAGTAATAATTATACTAATGTATTTCGGGTTTACTGCAATATATTAATAGATATTTTTCTTTTAAAAATCATTTACGGGATTTTTTTTTTATAATTATTATTTTTCTTGTGTTTAATAAAAAAAAAAAAAAGCAGCTGACTTTGATTGAAATAGGTTTAATTGTTTAGAAGATAAGCTGTTGCAACAAAATCAATTTCACATTTACATGTAAGTTATGGGTAAATTTTCCTATAAACCTATATCCGTCTCGTATTAAGTGATAATTTTTTTTCTGGTTATCTATTTCAATTTGTTTTTTAATAAGGCATTTAAATATAAATGTGTATGTGTGATTACATTGTATAACAAAATTAACATGGTTGTGCTGCCATATCAAATTTATGTATAATATCCATAAGATTTCGTTTTTAAGACTACCTACACACACTATGATACAATTTAATGATGTATTTAATTTTAATGATGGATATCTATTATTGTTTTAGATTATAAAATGGTTCATCCTCAGCCCGATAGGTGAGCGGGGATCGTCAGACGTTTAATTGGGTTCAATAATTAAATGTTGATAAATAATAAACAATAAATAATAATATACGTTCGAGAAGTTATCGCAACGCTTCGCAGTGACACATAGGTTGCGAAGTGAAGTCATATGTTTTAAAAATTTGAGCTGTTGTCGCCACCGTGCACTATTGACGGACCACCATCGCATCATCGATCATCGTCACTATCGTACGGAAAATACAAAGTGAGTAGATAACCTAAGTATGTTAGTAAATAGTAATATATTATTCATGTATCTAAATACCGTTTCCGATTCACTGATACCTTTCTCTTATTCCTTGTCTGCTGAACTGAAAATAGTCTGATTTTTTTTTTTCATATTTAATAATTTTTGTAATGTTCATAAAAATTACCTTTTGCCGTGGTTTGTATATATTTATGTATGTTGTATATATATACAGTAAAAGACGCTTATTAGAAACACTTTGGGACCAAAGTAAATTGTGTCAATTAACCGATTGTTTCTAATAAGCGATTGAAAAAAAAAATGAATAATAGGTACGTGAAAAAAATATGTATGTATGTATGTACCTATATATATTCTATAATTTTATTTAAAAAAGTATGTACAAATGTATATATTTTACGATATTATTTAAAATATTTATCAATCGTAATTTGTTTTTTGCGTCGAGTAACTCCATGACCATATTTTCATACGAGTAATATTGCCCCTTTGGCTTTGTCACTTATTTTGAGTGCGTATGTGTGTTCAGGTAGAGCTCTAAAATAAAACCCAGTCTCGGCCGCATTTAAAATATCAGAAGGTGTGTATTGGGTTAGCAAATCGGTCTAATGAACTTCAAACCACGATTGGTCGCATGAAAATTGACTAAAATCTTAGCGTTTAGACATTTTTAGATTTTTAGAAAAAGAAAACACTAATAATCTTTACATACGCACGCTGAAGCTAAACTACCAACGGTACGATCGGTACGTACAGAAAGAACATTCTCACGATAAATTACAGTAAAAATAAACGTAACGACAGCAAAGATAAGATTGAAGTACCACATTGGTTATCGCCGGATAATCGGTGTTTATGTCAACTAATCTTCTCCCAATTGTTTCAAATAACCGATGTGATGTTTCAATAATCCGATTTATTTTCAATATTCTAATATACATCCGATCCGTCCCGAGACATTTTGTTTCAATAACACGATTGTATCAATTATCCGTGTTTCTAATAAGCGGCTTCTACTGTATATTGAAAAATGTCTAAAATACTCAAATTTTTATGAATTCAGTCGGATTGCTGCAATTAAAAAAAGATTTTTTTTTATTGACCTTATTTCAGCCTGGAAACTAAGGCCATTAACTGTACATAGGAACAGTAGGTATTTTGTGTAAGGTTTGGTTAGTAGGGTTGAAACACATGAGTGTATGGGTGTGCCATGGATTCGTCACTAAAAACTTGGGTGGTCACCTATCCGAGAGCTAGCGACGCCGGCCAAAGCTTGACCTCGGAACATATTAGTGATCGAAAAAAAAAGATTATAAATGTGTGAATAAAACTTTTTTTTAAATAAAAACAATCATTATTTTTGAATAAGCATCAGAAATCAGTAAACAAGTAAATAGTTATAAGTAGAGTAAGGAATAATCAATATAAATTATAAAAAATGCATTTATATATTATGAAAAAAGCATTTTTAATGTAAAATTAAACAATTTTTTTATTAAGTTATTTAGTTATTTTTAGTGTCAAAAATTTCACGAACAAAAGGTAGGTATTTAAAACTAGCTCTGAATTTAATCAGTTATTTTAAATCGGCAATTCGAATTTTTATTGATATCAGTGAAAATAAAACAAATATGCATGCAATCTTGTTTTTAGTTCTAGATCTACATCAAATTGTAGTTACTTTTAGTGTTAATACAATGTAAAATCGACACAGACATGAATTAAAATAAGGGCTTCGCTGCATTACGAAAATTATGTTACCAAAAATACATTTCAAATATATTGTAAAACATTTATCATTTATTACGAAATATCAAAAAAATATTTAATTGAAAAAGTAAAAAAAAAAAATAACAACATAAAATATAAGAGAAAAAATTAAAATTAAAAGTTTTTTTGATTTCACTAAAAAATACAAATTTTTTCAAATACTAACCTTATAGTTAAAGAGGATAACTAATTATTGAGCTTAAAGTTAGGTAATATTCATTTATAAAAAGGTGTTAATATAACAGCATTTTTATGATGATATTAGGACATATCATCATGAAATTTAATTTATTTAAATTTTATTCTAGATTTTAATTTGATGACCACAGAAAACATTTTTACTCACAACTAAGATATAAATTTATCAAAACTTTTATATTTGTGAGATGAATTAAATTTCAAAAAAATAATTAAATAAACTAATGATATAGTTATGTATTTATAAATATACTGAGTGTTTATTTTATCAACACTCATTTTTTCAAAATCTATTAACGTTTTTGAAAGTATTTCTTTTACATAATTATTAATTTCCAGTCGAAATAAAACAAATTTTTTTTCAAAAGATTTTTAAATTTTTTTTATGCTTTTAGTTTTTTTACATTTTTTTACATTTTTGAATATTACATATTATATTTTTAATTTCATATTTTGAAGTAGAATATTTTTGGAAGTACTTTGATTCATAAATATCAAAATTCAAACTAGAAGATATAATAGTATTTACAGTTTTACATGCTTAGAACATTGGTGAGTGGAGTAAGAGTAGTAGACCAATATTTTTCTGGGTATCTCCGTACTATTCTACTCCGCTAATTCATACTTTAAATACTTAACTATAACTAAAAAGCTATTTGTCTGAATTTCCATTTTTAGTAATTATTTAAGTACTTAAAAAATATTTTGCTAAAAGTTATTTTATTTTGATTTTAAATTATCTAAAAAATATATTTTCAAAAACGTTAATAAATTTTGAATTGATGATAGTTGTTTGAGAAAAGAATCATTCTGTACATACTATATATACATGGGTGGATCCAGGAGAGGCACTGTTGACAAGTGCCACCCCCGTTAGAAAAAAAAATAAAAATTTTAGTATCGAATTTTTTTTTTTGTGGGGAGGATATATCTATGTTATAAAATGTTTCCTATAAAGTGCCCCAACTGTAAATACATGCTGGATCCGCCCTTGTATATATATACATATGCATATGTTACCAGAAATGTATTGAATCCGGTATTATATAGAAATCCTAGGTATTATATAGAATACCAAAAATGAGCAGGAGAAGTATGTATAATTAGTATAAAACTTAGATTTGTAGCTAGTGTACTTCTGTAATCAACGATTAATACAAGTAATTAATTAAAGAGTACATACAATAAATTATGACTGTACGCCGTATATAGTATTAATACATTGCTTTGGAACAATTATAAACCTCATATAGGTACATTTTTCAATTTTAAATAAGTAGTTAATTATCAAAGTTTAAATTTGAAATATAAAACTCTCATACTTTAATACCAGATAAAAAAAAGCTGGAATAAAACATGTAATACACATAGAAATAAAATAAAATAAGACTTTTGAAATACAATTTTTTTCCAATTATAATTTACTTGTTTAAGTTCGTAAACTAATTATTTATTTTCAGGAGGACGTAGAGAATTTCATTACCATGTTTACCTGCGGACGTTACATGACTGCAAACCAACGAAAATATTGGAATTATTCCTCCGTTAAACGACTTTTATTCACAATTGTATTGGTAGGTTAAATTTTGATAATTATTTTTATTTCAATTTTATGATACAAATGTATTAATATATATATAATTTAATACGTTTTGAGCCTAGTTATGTTATTCATAGACCTAAAAGTTAAACTCTATAATTTTATTAAGGATACTTTATAATTAATTTTCATTATCTATATCCTATATATTTATTGCTTATTAACAATTCAAATTTAACTTATGGGATTTACATAACTTAAAGTTAGACTATATCCTTAAAAATTGTATTGTTTTTATAAAATGTGATAAATCAGTAATATATATTATAAATATTTTACAGTTGACAACAAGTATTGAAATCAACGCGAGCAATATTAATTTTACGGAAAGTGGATCAGGCCAAGAAATAAACTGCACGGTTTATAGGTCCTGCACAAAATGTGCTGATATATCTATTTGTAGCTGGGCGATTCAAAAACAAATTTGTCTCTATTCAAATCAGAGTCTCTCAGAGAATCACGGAGTGGTTACAAAAGAATCATGCCCAAAGTATGCCGTTACCTTAAAGACCGAAGATAAACATTATCAAATACAAGTTACGGTTTTGAATATTACGGTAGAAAGTGTAAGAAATTTTTTTAACAAAAACGCAGTTATTAGTTGTGAAATAGAAAATAAAATTTACAACGCTTCAATCGATAATGAAGTAATTACTTGTAAAAAAAATATTATTTCTCCCGCCAAACAAATATCAGATAAAATCAATCCTTTGTTTATTTTGTATTTTTCAATCATTGTCAACGGCGTGAGATTACAATTTGACGATCCGCGAGATCATTACGTCAGTTATCGCAGTCGGACCTGCCCCAACGTGAATTGTTCGATCGTTTTTTGGGAAAGTGATTCGAAAAAATATTACTGTAAATGGTGTTTGAAAAACGATAGTTGTCAGACAACGGCCGACCCGAGGAGCAATTGCGACGTACGGGACGCGATTAACAACGAGAAGTGGAACAACGACGACACGGCTTTGTCCGCGATCGAAGTAAAAAGTCCCGAGCTGGCGATCGAATCTTTCAACCCGGACGTATTGATTTTCATACGTAAAATGCCAGCGGCCGTGAACATAACCGTCAAGAATCACGAGCTATTGGCCGACGGCAGTCGGTTGAAAACTGTGACTGTGGCAGGGCAGAGTTGTGAAAATGCGACCATGGTCGACGATCAGACGATAAATTGCATCGTTAGTCCCTATGCGCAAAATATAGTCGAAGGTCCGGTGCTAGTCGAGTACGAGTGGGTGACGGCGTCTACGGTGACGTTGCGATCGACACAGAAGTTCAAGTTCGTCAAACCGCGTTTCACGGGCGTCAGCCCAACGTGTGTCCCCGCTTCCGGAGGTACCCGGATTGAACTGACCGGCGAGAATTTGAACGCCACGACTTTCGTGCAGGTCTTCTTCAAAAAAACAAAAACGAAACCGATGTGTGAGATCGTCGAGCTCTTCAGCGACCGAATAAGCTGCACGACTGTAGCCAACGACAGAGATCAAAAACCCGGCTTGTTGCGAATCGAATTCGAAGGAATGATGGAATTTTACTGCAGAGAAAATTTGTTCTCGTACGTCGACGATCCAATCGTCCAGGACGGTCAAGTGTTCGCGGGAATCGCGTCGGGCGACGTGCCGTTGATTGTCCAGGGCGTTTTCAATTGCACGGAAAATCAACGGATGTACGTGGACGACTACAACGGTACGAGGCGCTACGGCCGTTGTGCGTTGCGCACCATTAACGGCACCGCAGCGATGCACTGTCGGCCGCCAAAGTTCGACAGTCCGGCGCAGACAATGAGCCTCCCCCTCGGGTTTAGCGTCGAATTGGCCGGCAAAGTCGTGGATTTTCAGCGACAGCCGCCCTACAGTTACATGCTGCACCCCGATCCGGTGTACGCGGACTTCGAAGTTCGCGACGTCGACGTCATCCGCGTAAACGGCTGGTTCCCGGACCCGTTGCAACGCCGTCGGTCGGACGGCAACTATTTGCTCGAGGTCGTAGCATTGCAGCATGGCGAACATTTGGACGACGACGACGACCATACGTGCGCCCTGACCTATGTGACCGACGATCACTTTGAGTGCCGGTCGCTGTCCGGCAAGTCATTAGTCGACACTCTGGAAATCGAAATCGCGCTGGGCGAACAGACGAAACGGACCGTGGTGCGCAGAAGGCACGACCGGCATTATACGATCGTTCGGCTACTAAGACCGCAATACGTCGTTGGCGGTATTTCGCTATTGCTGATATGCGTGTTTGCACTGATCGTCGGCGCAAAGAAAATAATGAACCGTTCCAAGCGACACGTGGACAGGCGATATCTGGGTGAACTTCGAAACATCACCGCTGGAATAGACGAGAGCAATCACTATTTAATCAACTCGAACACGGGCCGGTGAGGCGAACACTCGAATACGAAGGGGGGGGGGCATTGAGTTATGTACGGATGTAAATTTTTTTTTTCAATTGTACAAATAAATAACGCGCGCACTAAAATAGTATATAAATAGTTTTCAACTATTAAAATTATCAATGCTGTTACGTGAGTTTGTTGAACAGAGTTTTTGTATTTATTTTTTACTTGAGACACGAGATTGTGTTATAACATGAGATATAAAGTTGTGTTTTTCAGTAATACATGTTTTAACTGTTTGAATTAATTGATCTTCTACGTTATGCGCTGTGTTTATAGCACGAAGTCAAACGCATCGTCACTACTTCTTATGCTCTTGATGTATTTTTATTCTATAACATACACTTAATTCTTACATAGACACTCTTTTCTTATATTTATATTTTATATCTTTATAACTTTGAAATGCTGTTATTTTTTTATTCACTATTTTTCGTCTTAATTGACGAAATAATACTTTTTTTATAATGTATATTCACATAATATAATATAATTTTTAAAAATATATCACCTGCATTAATAACACAATGAGTATTCGGTATTATGTAATGGGTTAATATATTTGTTTTGTATGTTGTTTTAGGGGCAGGAGGTTGTGTTTAGAAATAATTTTGGATTAGATCCAATCACTTTCTGAGCTTGTTATCTGCTGCCATTACCGTTTGATATTATATACTCTATTACAACGTTTTGACAGCAATTATCATTTGTCTACATGATGACAGTATCTTTAAACTATTATAAATTTAAAAATTACGGTATTAGCCGTTGCCTGTTATGCTTGCATTGATGTGTGGACCTGGCTTAACAGTTGATTTCGAAATTGGCGATTAGGTTAATATTATCTCTATCTTATGTACATAATATATATATATATAATATATCGTTTAAGTACACTGTACTATCAAATCAATATATTATGTTGACAGTTGACACTATACCCTATTGTACGTATGAAAATATATTATTTGTTATATATATGCACTACTTATAAATTACTAATTAGAATGACATTATTACATTTTTTGTAAATATGAACAATGAAATTTTATTTTTAAGCTTTTTCTAAACAGATTAATTTTACTAATCATTCGGAATTTGAATTTTTTAACCACAGTGATGTAAATATTTTTTTTATCATTTACTTGACAGCTTCCAAAATTATTTCGATATTTTGACGGAAACTATACTAAAAATAAAATTTTATGATGATTGGATTTTAATTTTACATCCGCCACCTTGTTTAACTACTTATACTACAATATATAGCCGTGATAAATGTATAGAAAAAGGTGCATAGATGTGGGCTGAAAATGTTCGTAAGTTTTGCGCATTCTATCTTTATATTTAAAATAAACATTTTATCAATCTATCGAAAATTAGTAAATTTTTATTTTATTTCTCATAAAACAACAAATTATTTAATAAACTTATATTTTTTATTATTAAAACAAGTTATCTTAATATATTATATACTTATATAGTTTAAAAAAAAGAAAGAAGCAATAAGAAAAAAATGGATAAGTATATTTTGGTATCGCTCTATTACCAGGCGACCAGTGAATATTTAAGCTGCGTATTCACTTATAACGTCATTATCACGTAACGTAGCATAGACGCACTATTAAATTAATCTAATTAACTCCACCAAGCAACAATCTTTTGATGCGACTCGAATTTTCCGACAACTCGTGGAACGCAATGTAACTTAATAATGGCTAATGCAGAAAATATCTATTTTAGATCATTAGATCAATAATAAAAATAAAAAATATAGTTTCTAAAATAAAATTAAGATCACACAATTTTATTAATATAAGTGCAATGTGCCATTTATGTGTTAACTCGTGAGTCGTGAGGCCACAAATCAATCTTAAATACGATTAAACTTTTTATTTTTCTAAAATATAATTATAATTATTTACGTTATTTCATAAAACTATTTTTATAATTTATTAACTTCGCTGCAATCGTTTTTATATCGTTTATTGTAAGTATGTGAATAGGTGATGTACCTATGTCCTTTATACATTGTAGTATTGGGTCAATTGGTACCTATTCAATATTCATTCAACAGAACGCTTGGGATAGTATTAGTATATTTTTATTATTACGTCAAGTATTGTAGTTTAGGATTAGACTGTTCGACTGTTAATTTTCGTAAATGCGTCACTGATCAGCATGTTGCTGATAAAATAAAATTAATACGTTAAAATTCAAACTTGCAAGGAAAACTATCGTTACAGTTAGTAAATGTGATCGAAAAGTTCTGAGTTTCTGTTAACCAAATACTGGCTAAAAATAAAAAAAAATAATACGAGACATTCCGTTTTATTTATCATGTATATTATATTATATTCGTTGACAAAATGACGTCAGACTATCGGAATAAAAACAATTTTGAGCGTTCACCTAATAACTGAGTATCGGAATATGATAATATTATGAATTTATGATATTATTCTTTATTCATACCATTGTAATATTTGTATTTTTATAATATGGTCGTGACGCAACGCGGTGACTTGCAAACACAAAAAATGTAATAATATGACAAAATGAGTCAAACAATTTAAGATTAACGAACATAAATATTAATTTAGTTCGGGGGTGACGTTGCTACTATCTTATATATACTTACTTATGGATTGTAATAAATCGTAAAAACTATGCTGACAGTCGATAGATATTATGCCTTCGTCCTAACTATTTTAATGACTATGATTTAATTATCGGGCTTGAGTTCAATATATTTAATTATAAGTATACTCGTTGGTTTATGATATATATATATATATGGATATTGGTATTAATGGGTACCATATATCCATATAAAAACTACTATAATATTATGTATATAATTTAAATTATAATATATACTATGCTGCCTTATAACATTAATGTTACATATATTTTATATCTTATTCTCAAAATTAAAATAATTACTATAATTATTATTAAATCATAAGTTTAACCTATATAGAACAACTTATAGATTTTGATAAAATTAAACAAGACTGTCAACTATAAGAATATATTAGAATATAATTATTATAATTGATAATGAATATATGATAATTTTATTATAAATAAGTAGTTTTGTCCCAAATTTTAATTACATTGGAATATCATTAAAATAATCAATATTTCACAAAAAATAAAACGTCATCGTTGATGAGCGAGTCAAAATGTTTATATCCTATTCCTCCAGTAATAAAATCAGTATGTCTTTACAACTCATTCCAGATACTACCAATATATCTATTTAAATTGTATATACCTATGCCTGTATATTATGTGTCAGTGTGTCAAGTTTGTACATAGTGCATCAATTTATTACAAAAAAAAATTTTGTTGTTAAACTCGTATAGTGCACTCATCAAATCAAAGAGATCAAATTTATCTACAATATAAGGTAATATAGCAACATTTTTGTACCTGCATTAAATTAATAATCCTTTTATTATAATTTATAAATAAATAATTCTTAATAATATAAAATCGTTTTCATTCACCTAATACCTAAATGGTGCGTGATTATTATAATAACTTATTATTTTACTTTTGATATTTATATTATATATCATTAATTTTTCAATATTATTTAGTTAGTTAATTTATTTAATTTAACCGTATTCCGAATTTGGATTTATTACGATGTATAAATGTATAATAACCGTATTATACCATTGTATATTACCTATTTTTAAGCCAAGTTATCCCTGATATTTAATAATATTAGGTTACATTATTATTATAATTGTATTTTAAATGTAATTTGTGAACTTAAGAAATAAGAATACATTTTCAAAAAATGAAGAAGTATTTGCTTTGTGTTTTTTATGTTTAACAGTTTTATATTATGGTTTACCAGCTGTTTCACGTGTTTGTATAATTTTTTGAAATGTAAAAGTATAAAATTTAAGCGGAAATGTACACATTCAAAAGTACGAGTATTATATCGTCATAGATTTTGATTTAAGTATTTATACATATAATATGTAGTACCTATATTAGATTAAAAATAAGTTTATTACTATTATATATTATATTTAATGGTTTTGCAACACGCTTTTATAGTAAAAAATTGTATTAGCTGATTGTCATTTCAAAATTTAATCCATGCTATAAAATATAATCATTGATAATAAATCAATGCTATTATATAGGATTAATTTAAACTCATTCATGTCACTACTTAAATAATTTTAATACGTACTATAGGCAATATTACTACCTATGTAATAGACTAATAAGAAATTTTGAAAACTTAAAACAATATTGCAATTTTGATAAATATTCAAAACTTTCAAAAATCTAACGTTCCAATAGTAGCTGGTATTACTAGTATTAATACATACACTATAATATATTTCTGGTCTATATTTTAACTGCCCGATTCAAATACGTAGTATCGTATTAAAGTAACCAAATTAAAATTAAATTTTTAAAAATTTCTCTTATAACAATGAATAAACTGTTTATTAACAGTTTAAACTTTTATATTATACGAGTATTGTAGATATCAATATATCTAAGTGTCAACACGTTTCAACAATAATTTTGTCTGACATCATATTAAATTTATCTGATCGATAAAAACATGATAATATTAATAAATAACAAAAATAGTAGTACGACATATAATATACGATAAAAAACATTTCATTTTATTCTTTTAGAATGTTAATTAAATTTTTATCAAATTTTATCTATTTCTCTATAAAAATGATTTAAAAACATAAAAAAATGCACTAAAAATGTCAAAAATGCTTTAAAAAACAAAAAAATATTAAAAATACAAAAACATGCAAAATAAAAGTTACGATTTTGAATTACTTTATGTATGAAATAAACTTTGTGCTTGAAAAGCAATGTTTTCTGACATTCAGAAAAAAATGTATTTTGCATTTAAATCCGTTCCTTAGGTATTTATAAATTATAACTATGGCACGGATGTTGTTGCATTTGCAACTTTTTTTTACTTTTTCAATTAATTGCTAAGTAAATTTAAAATGCGTGTCGTGTAAGTATAAACTAAAATCTTACATTTATACTTTGGTGTAGACGTAGTCAATATCTCACTTAGTGGAAATGTTTTGGAAGAAACTTCTTACGTACTTACATCTATATGACTCAGTATACGTATAGGTATTTGAAAAATCGTGTTAGCATGGAATGAATGGATTATTTCATTTAAAGTATTTTTGTTATACTGATGGTGTAAAAACGATTGTAGATAGATGCTTACACATATAGTTTTCTTTTAGATTTCCGAAAAAGAAAAGAAAATTGTTTTCTCATCCACTGGAGAGTAGGTTAGTATTTCCTGTAAAATATTTTTCATATAGCAATGTTTACTATAGTATAACGATTATACAACATAACGTCATACGTACCGCACATAAATACTTATTATACTATTATTATTGTTATGGTTGCAGTCCTCCGACACTAATGAACGCGATATACTCATCGATTAATAATTATTGCTTTAATTCGTCTAATGTGCCAGTTGTAATCATTTTGTGTTCAATTTAAATGTTTACCGACGAGCCACTTCATGAGAATTTGAATCCCGTACTGTCAGCCAAGTCCAGATAGATATTAATCATTTTTCGGAATGGAGTGCAGTCATTTGTGACACTCAGGGTAACTCCGGTGTGGTCGTTCACCGCCGTCTGCACCCATAGGTATCAACGTACGATAATAACATAATGCCACGAGAGACGTACCTAAAGTCTGATTACAGAGTTGAAGATAATTTACAAACATCTTCTGTGCTGTCGTGTGATCATGCGACAGCTGACTATGCACGTCCCCGTACAATCGGCATGTACCACGTGAGTTTGCAGCTGCAACGGCAGCTATTGGTATTAATTATTGTACTTTAATTTATAGGTTGTAACGAATATGTGCAGGAATTAATTAGCATATTTATTTTAAATAAATATTTTAAGTTAAAATTAGATAGTTATAAATGATAAAAAAAATTTTAGTTATTTTGTTGTAATTCAAAAATATTATTCATTTTACGCGATGATATTTTCAAAACACGTGCATTATATTTTAAGACTATTTATTCTATATAACATCTACAGTATAGTTACTATAATAGTACTAATAGTAAAACAAATTACTATAATAGCAATATAAATATACCACAAAACATAGGTAGGTACTTATATTATGTCTTCGCACAGAATTTTTTTTTGTACGCAATCAGTTAGGTTAGGTTAAAAAAAATTATAATATACTCGTACATATTTATTTTTGGAAGAAGAGGTTAACCATATTACTTATCAATAAACGTAGTTGACTTATCCCTTTAACAGAATTTATCTTAATTTATTTCAAGCTTTTTAAATAACGTAACCATAATTATTTTTCTTCAAAGCAGGACACTTGTATATTTTAATAAGAAAACCATTTAATTGTGTGTAAAATAACAATTTTTTTATTGGAAAAAAACATTTATTATTTATTTAAAAAATAGCAACAGAAAAATGCAGCTTATATATTAATCGTAATAACAAATAATAAAATATAATAATAGAGTGCAATAGTCATTTTTATCTATGAACAATGGGTTTTTGTGTTTTACAGTATATAGTTATATTCAGGTATACGTATTTAGTATAAATTTATGATTGTGAACTGTGATCAATATTATACCCACCACAAGTCAAATTTTCTTAAATCAGGAAATTTTTAGGTTCTTTGGAGACAGCGGAACACTATTAGCTCGAAAGCGGGACGTATGGTCACATTATAAGTGATTTTTTCTATATTATTAATACCATATAGTTGGGTAAGATCGATTAAATTTTAAAAAATCATTGATTTTATCTTTTGGTTGTTTGTACGGTATTTTAATATAACTTATCTGACCTCTGCAGAACGATAGTTCCGAAATAATATGTGTATTTAATATATTTTATATATTCACGACGTATAATTAATCAGATGCATGTTTTTAATAATTTATTTTTTTGCATATTTTAATAAAAAAATCAAGTGATACAGGTGAATTCATCAAAATATTTTTTGCATTACAGCTGCTACATATATTTATTATTATTACAAATGTAATATGTTAAAATTTGAGATTTCATACGTTTATTATTGTTAATTTATTTACTTAAATTGATTTAAATTTGTAACGATGTGTCCTTGATTTACTTTTTTATAATTTTGAAATTAATTGATAATATTTGATAATTATCATGTATGTAATAATATTATGTATACACTATGTCCTATACTATAAACGCCCTAATTTAGTAATCTTATAAAGAGAAATAACAAAAAAAAAAAAAATATATTAATGTGTAATTGTCTGTCGAATTGACATAGGTATTGATTTGTTTTACAAAAATTATAAACGTCAAATATAAATAACCCTAATTTCAAATTAACAATGTATACAAAATACAAAAATCTCATAAATAAAAATACTAACATAAAACACCTTAATTACACATTTTAAATATATTATAAACAATAACATGTTTTAAGTTAGATCATCATCAAGGTTCAACAAGTTAGTTTTTTCTATCATTTCAAAATATAGTTTTTAGTTAAAATTCATTAAATTGCTAAAATTGTTGAAATATAAAATATACAAGAACACGAATTCATAGAACGTAAATATTGCATTTTAACTTGCAAAACTAATAACTGATAACCAATTAATTAATTGAGTGTAATATATATTTAATATATATTTAATTTATATTAATATTATTTATTAATATATATGTATATATTTGTATGAAATAAAATAAAATAAAAATGTATATTAATTATGAAATTAAGACGTTTATGCAATATTATTCATATTTTTTTGTGTTTGTCACATACAATGTATTTATTTAGATAAATCAACATTTTCGAATTGTTTAAATTGTTGTATAATTTTATTTACTTTGATCTAAAATTTTATTATATGATTATTTATTTTCAGAAAAACAAACTTTACTCAAGTGACATGTTTGTCAGCGGACGGCCTAAATCTGAGCATTACTGGAAGCATTTATCATTGAATCAATTTTTATTCTTATTTATCATAGTACGTAAATACCACCGTTTTATTAATATCAAATAAAGTAATTTTTATTTTACAAATAAATCCCTATAATACGTAACTAGTGCAACTAATATGCTGTGCTGCTTAAGAAGTAGTATTCATATAGATGCTCATCATATTTATTTAATATTATATAGGTACATTAACCCAGAGCGCTTAAATTAGGTATTTTAAGCTGCGCCATGAAAACTGTACTATTATATTAATAATAAAATGACTAAGACATTCTGCTCGACCGCGCGTTACATAGGCTATATTATATCATGCATAACAATATTAAATAATATTATATATTATGATACCCTCTAAATTATTTCATCACACGTTCAATGTTGCAGTTGACTACGGCACACCAGTTACTAGCCGAAAACGATTTATTGGAGACCTCGACGACGAATGGAATCGCAACCTTAAATGGACTTGCGTGCGCAGAGCGATGGACGTGTACATCGTGTACAGAAGGAATGACGCCGTCGTGCAGTTGGTCCGTTGTCGAACAGATGTGTGTGGATAATGTTGCGGAGGCAGCTCAAAGCCGACTGATGGTCACCGACAGATCGTCTTGTCCAAAGTTTTCAGTCGACAATAGAGTCGGCACAGCGGCCGATAACAACATGACGATAACGGTTACGATAAACGACAGTGCCATGGGAGGTCGTTTCGTTGAACTGTTGGCTAATAGCAGCGTAAAGTGTCAGCTAAAAAACGAGAATATCACAACCGTGGTAAACGGCGACCGGATATCCTGTGCACCGGTACATATTAGATCGGATTACAAGGTGAAGTGCCGGTATTTCGAGCCTGTCTTCAGTCATTTTTTGATCTTGTTCGATGGCAAGTTTTTGCGATTTGACAACGAAAGCGACCACTACGTGTTCAATTATCCTAGTGATTGTTCGCGAATCGATTACGAACATTTTAACCGGAATAACGGCACGCACAGATGTTACTGTACGTGGTTGGATAACAAAACTAGGTCCGCGAACATAACATCGTTTAAGAAGTACTGTGACATGCGGAATAATTTGAATTTTACCAAATTGGGATTCGCTAACAAGGAAATCGACGAAATGTGTCTCTACAAAGGTCCGGTCGTAGTTAAAGATTCTGTGACGCCGAAAACGATGCTCCAATCAGACCGGCTCAAACCGAAAGATCCCGTGGGCGACAATAACAGTTCTTCGATCGTTCCGACGGTGAACGCCGGCCAAAAGTTCGGTGGTATCGTATCGGGTAATACTAAATTTATGGTACAGGGTCAAAGTTGTGAAAGCTTGTACAACGTGAAGGTTTGCACTACTGATTATAATCAAACGTGTAGCCGCTGTAATGTCCATAACGATACGTTCATGGAATGTAAATCTCCCAAGTTTGTCATCAACGACCCACAACCACGACTTGTAATGAAACAGTTGAAGTTTAAAGCTGACATTTTTCCCGGAAGTGTTCAGGTGAATCCCAATTCATGGTTAATCGAATACTACTTATACCAGGATCCGGTTTTTACGGATTTTGTGGTAAACGGTTGCTGTAACGTCACCGTAAATGGTCTGCACCTTGACCTGGGTTACGCCGCTAATGACTTGTCTATTGTACTGGACAGTGAAAATTCGTCGTCCCGTTGTCTGATCATTTTGATGAACAGTACGCAGATCACTTGTCAGCTACCGCTATCGCGGTCACCGCCGTCTCAGTTAGATCCACTGCCAAAACAAATAAATATAACGGTGGGTGATTATTTTAGAGTCCTGACGCTAACGAAACGAAAATCCAGTCATTTCAAAAATTCGTTGGCTGGGATAATATTGCCAGGTATCGTCACTATAGGCGCGTATGTTTCATTTATTGCAGTTTTATGTGTGGCTCTTATATTTTTTAAGTCTTCCAAGGACTATGACCTATTACATTTACATGGACGCCAGAATCTTGAAGAAATGCGGTCGTTGAACGAAAAAAATTTCAACGACTACGACAACGACAGCGAATCTAAAAATATGTTGCCGGTACGCGACAAACGGCATTAATTTCGTATTTTGCTATAAAAATGACATTTAATTTATTAATTTTTTTTTACATAATATTTATAATATTTCGTATCTATAATTTTAAAACATCGTTTCCTTTGATAAAACTATATTTACATCTGTAATAATATAATTACATTAAATATATGTTACATTGTACACTATGTGTTTGTGTACGACATGTAATACGACAACACTAGCAAAAACTGCAATTATTGAAAAAGTTTTGCTTCACTGCGTTTAATACTATTTTTTGAAATAACTTACTTCGTGCTATGCAGATTATGGACATCATAATATGCTCGATATTATTTTTAAAACACGAAATAGCACTTCTTTCTCTATTAGTTAGTAATTTAAATACAATGGTTCTTCATTTAAAATTCCTGAAATTATATCTATTTGATTTTATCCGTATTTCCGTTACATATTCTGTATATACAGTACATGCACTTTATATTATTATTGCATAAATTATAAATTTAAATTAACCAATCTATTATCTTTATACCAATACTTTGTCCAGGGCATTCAAAAGGTAAATGCATTTTTAAAAGAAACAACATTTAATTAACTATAAATTTATGTTGTATTAGAAATTTGAGAATGTAGTCTATTTTGAATAAAGAACATAATGGTAAATTATAGAAATGGATGGTTTTTTAAATAAGTCTTATGGTAATTAACATAATTTTAATTATTATAATTTTTTCACTTTTGAAAATATATTTTTTTGTAATCACTCTAAAACTAAGTTTATGTAAAATTATATAAAAATACATTTTATAACACTTTCACAAGTAGTCGCTATGATGGATTTAATTAGTATAATGTTTTGACTCCAGATAGAATTTTTGTTATTTATCAAAATTTATCATTTGTTTATATTTTTATTGGTTTATTTTCAGACCATTAGAAATTTGTTCCTAGTATTAAATATATTACATTTAAATTGCTTTTATTCTTTTAAATTATTAACTACAAAATTTGACGATTATATTAATTTTATTATAATTTTACTAACTGTGCCTACATTAATTGCTTGAAAATTAAAAACAATTTTAATATCAGCTAGGAATATTAGATTAATAAGATATATATTGATATGGTTAATGGAAACTTATTGTTTATATCAATCATATCTATTCAATTTGTTCATCTGCTTACTCAAATTTTATATTTATAGTCATCGTAGAAATAATAAATAATACAAAATTACTGGAAACTTATTTAAAAATATAAATACATTTTTGTTTTATTTAATTATGTATTATAAGATAAATTATGTGCCGTAATTTTTTAGTTTTTAAATTGTTACCTATTATATTAGTAGGTATAAGTTGTAATTCTTCGTCTTATCTCATAAAAAAAAAAAAAAAATTAAAAAAGTTCTAAAAAAGGTTAAATTTATTAACTAAAGATTATTTAGAGGCCATTCCAGGATACCTGCTCAAAGTTCAAAAAGTGTATGTTAAATGAAAATGAAATAGCTCACGGGCTATCACAAATAGAAGTTTGTAAAAATCAAAAATATAATATTTAATTTTAAGTTATACGCTTCATACTTAATGATATTTTTAAAGTATTAAATTTTAAATACCGGCATTCATATACAATTATATGACTTTATGTAATATGAATCCTTATGATCAAATTAAAATGTGATTGCAATGGTAATTCATGTCTGCATAAAATTTATATGATCGTCCATGGTACTAGCCACCAATCAATAGCAAATCATAAGAAAACAACATTAAATATTAATATCAGCATGCATGGTCGTCATCTAAAATGTGTTACTAGTTGAGAGTCAATTATTCCAATGATACATCACAAGTATGTTACACATATGTATAGGTAATGCGCAGATAGTAAAATGCAGGTATGACACGTGTAAGTTATGCTATAATGATTAAATTATTAGATCTTTGAAAATATGAGATAAATAATATCATTAAAAAAATAGTCTTAGAATAATATAGAAAAAGGTGATATAAGAAAATCTTAAGGCTTAAAAGCATTCTAATACAATAGCATTTTAGTCTTTAGAATAATGCAAACAAAATAAAGTTAATAGTTTTATACATATTACATCTTATTTCTTATTTATAATAATTAATACATTTTGAATATCTGATAAAAACTCTTAATACTGCCAATTCTTATTAATTTTTGTAATTGTATTTTAAAATAAATTTAGGGCAAGGGTTATTTTAATTAAAAACGGTTACGCCCAACAGACTAAGATTATAATAGTGTATTAAAAAATCTGAATATTGAGATGGTGATTTTGGCGGAAAACGGAAACTCTCAGCTTAATTTACCCATTTATTTTATTGCAGTTAACATAATAAATAAAATACAGTTCAGAGAACAGATTTATTTTTCAATTCTAAAAATTGTGAAAGTATTTTCCATTTTTTTTTTTACAATTTTATTGAACTTTAGATTGAAATATGATAGTATACTCTTACATATAATATATTATATTAAACATTTTTTTTAATAGTCAATTATTTGTGAATAGACTTGTTTTATAAAAAAGTTGCATAATCTTTAAAAGAGAATGTGTTGAATACTAAAATTACTTTAAAAAAATGTTCTTATGCGGAGAAAAGGTTAATTTTCAAATAATTTATTTAGTATAACTATCATTTTACAAATGGTTACAATTATTATTGTGTTTTTTTTAGTTTATAGATGAGATATTTTAATTTTATGATGATTCTTTTTTATATTTTACAGTGGAAAGATGGAATAGGTATAGTTTTCATAAATAAAAAGCGATTTTAGTTAGAAATATAAAAAAAGAAAAATGATTTTGTGTTCATCGCAAATATATTAAATTAATTTTTAAAATGTGAAGTTGATATTCATAATTGAAATATCAAATTGAAATCGGATTTGAATATTATCGCTTGGATACTAATTACTGTGATATAATAATCTTCAACTACTTTATAAATGGAGATTTTGCATTATTGAAAAAATAGACAAAAAGACATTGTAAATTGTTATAGAAAATGATATGTGTAATATATTTATTATTAAATTTATAAATTAAAAGTTTATGGAGTATATTTTAAAGTTATTTAAGGTAGTCGTTTATTCTAATAAGATGGGTTTACTGGGTTTGGGTTACTTCAGTTTATCAAGAAAAATAATTTAATTATGAACCATTCAGAAAACTTTGTAAATCTGATAACTGGAGAGCTGGAGGAATAAATAATTTGTATTATCATTGTATAATTTATAGACATGTAATAATATGCTATAATAATATGGAGATTATATACGACGTATTATTGGATGCTGCGGTGCGGTTACGCGAACATTTATTATTTAACACAGCTGCCGTGAATTTTGTTCGTTACCGCACGTTATGTCGTTATTGATATTGGCGTGTATAAAAAAAACTATTTAATTGCACCAACTTGTCCAACTCCAATAGTTATTGCTATAGTGTTAGATGTAATTTTTTTTTTCTTGCATTGTCAACAGCTTATTGTACATTCCGAACATTTGTGAACCAAATTATTGGTTTAGTATAATATCGTAGACTCAAATGACTGCATTAACGCATCGTATTGTTAAGCGCTAATAGCTGTAAATTGAAATAAATAATAATTGCATATAATATGTTTATTATAGTATATATTTGTCGATATCAGCATGAATGGATGCATTTTGTAATGATATTGATATGTATAAATATTACCTATAAGTATATAATATTAATAGCACTAAGAGTTATATTCTATTCCTTCAAACTCAAATAGCTACTCATCAAATTTATTTTATTTATTTGATTCACAACAAAATTAAATTTTTTCTCGGCAATTATGCATTTATCGTGAAAAACTATATTCTTTTGTCATTTGATAGTTAATATTACCTTATATATTATTGGCTGGACCGAAAGAGTCATTTCACAAAATGTTTTTTTAACACTTACTTTACGTTACATCATTTTTAAAATAATTAGATTTTGTTTGAGCTATTTTTATAAATGTTAATTGAAATTTTAGATTTTTTAAATTTTTTTCAATAAATATAGATAAAAATCGTTTTTCTGGGTTAAAATGCTTGCAAATTTAATTTAAGTTTACTATTTTAAATTGTTACTATGTATAGTAAAAGTATTAAAGATACATTTACACGATTTTTTTTCAAACATTTAAATTTTAAGTTTTGTAATCAAAAATATATAATAATGTTTTTATTGTATTTAATATTTCATATTTAGACGAAGAATTAGTAATTAAAAAATAGTATCAATAGGTACATGAAACTTTTACCATAATATATTATTATATTTTATGCAGAAAATAACATTTTTAAATAATTTGTTTTCGAAAAAAATGAATTCAATCTACTGTATTACTGATAGTAAAATAAATTATATTAATAGCAATATGAATGTATTATAATATAAGATATACTGACTAATATAAGTTTATAGACCATCTTCGTTCAGAATCGTTTTTCAAATGCAATGGTTTATCATTAAATTCAAATTTAATATGTCATACATTACCATGGTTTACTTCTAAATGACGAAGTACACTTAAAACCTATTATACAGCAGAATCGCCAGAATCCTATTTTTTCTCCAAAAAAATAAATGAAAATAACCATACAATTACGAATTATTATACCTTCTCTTTCATTGTTATACGAGAATTTATTAATAAGATAATATTATTTTCTATACATTTTAATATACTTAATTAATATTTATTATAAATATTTTATCGTACATGACTCACACACCGTGACATATTATTAAGCATCAGTAATAATACATTATAGTGTAAGATAACAATATATGATTTGCTATTGATGATTTTTACAGTGAAACAAATTATTGACTTTTATTTTTAGTGAAAATTTCATTGATACAATATATTTTTTTAAATTTATTAAAAATAATTGAGTAGGTTTTTTATCCATGATATATGTTTAACTAACAATTAAAAACTTAGTATTTCCAGTGTAAGTAATAAATAGATTGCTATGATTAAGTATTTGCTTATCTGAAATGCAATATTTTGTACGTAATTTTAATCACTTTTTTTAATTACCTACAATATTGGGCTGATAATATATTTTTCATAATATAACTCTAGCACAATTATATCATAAGTATGAGGCAAACATTTATATATAAAATAGATATTCAAAAATATACCTTTATTCGTTCTAATGACGCTTTTAGCCAGATAGAAAATGTTATGAATATTAAAATGATATGACTTATTTAATTTCATTATTGTGGAGAATTCATTGCAATGAACGGTTTTATTAAGCTGATTAAGATATTTTAATATATATATATATATATATATAAGGAACTGTAATAAAAATAATAAAAGGTAATAATAAGAAGGAGAATTAACTTAATATACGCTATTTAGATTACCTTCTCCTATAGAAGGAATTGTTATTCAAGGGGTCGTGAATTCCTATAATATTAGTTCATGAGGAACCTGATTACTCTTATAGTCCTCTTTAAAGTTAACTTAGCTAATTGTACATGAAAATTATAATTGATAATTAATTCACTGGTAGAGATTAATGATTTAATAATGTAACTTCTTACCTGTCGTGTGAATTTTTAACCTCTATATTCATTCCACAGTTAAATTGATGTGACGTTACCTTAGTATTTTGCACATCTGTTATTTACCTACTAAGTGATGATATTTCTAATAAAACAATTTGATATTTAATAAGATTGTTTGCTTAAAATTTTAAATATAACAATGTAAATATATTTTATTGAAATTAATAAAAAAAGGGTAGTTTATATTATTATGACTAAAAATTATTGAAATGTAAATAGTACATTCGTTTAAAATAATTTTGTCGTAGAACTTTGTATTTTTTACGTATATTAGCGTTACTATATTATATTATATGATATATTGCTGATATAATATTGGTATCATGACAGAATCATACTTTGTTGTTACTTGTGAGTAGGTACTTCTTACTTAAGAACGGAGACCCTTATTAGTCTGTGATCTGCAAGTAATATATATATGTCATCTAAAGCAGGAAGATATTTTTATTCAGCTTATTTTATTATTTTATAACAAAATATATTATTATATAACTGTTAACTACCTAATTTTCTAGATATAATTCTGTAACTGTAACTATCGACTATTAACACAATCTGACTACGCCCATTAAATAATAAGCATAAAATGCGATAAATTTATAATAGCTTTTAAGAATATGATTCATTTTAGATGATGGTTGAGTTTATTGAATAGCGGTTGCAGTAGGTACAACACGTAATTGTTTATTTTAATTTTAAAGTAGACATTTTTGAAAATAAAATACATAGACACAAATTTAGTACGGTTACAATATTTTTCTGCTCACAACTCACAAGTCGCGACCCGCAAGTAAGTAAATTTATACTAATTATTATCATATATTAGTATAAATATATTAGTAACAATATAATTAATTTCATAATAAAATTAAAATAATTTTGAAAAACCTGAGTAGGTATTAAAAATGAACAGAAAATATTCTTAATATGTATACATTTAATTAGAGATTTAAGGAGGTACCTAATAAATGGAACAAGTATCTATCATTATTTAAAATTTTTAATAAGTTATATCACCTTATAAAATAATAATTTTCCATTTTTTGAGTTTTACGTACATTCTATCATTTAATTTACAGACAAATTTAACTAAAAATTACCACATTTTGACATAAAAATGCGATATTCTGTAAAACAAATACTGCATGTGACGTAGACACGTTATTTCCGCAAAAACCTATTTAATATAATATCATATAATAATTGTAATTCAGTACATAATAATATATGTAATATATATATATTGTAACAATATGATACGTTTTTTTACAAAGGAGTTTGGTATTCATTATTCAATCGAACGCATAAGTACATTTTACTTAACACTAATTTAAATTCGAAAGTCAAAAATAAAGATTCCTATGCATATTCATCTAAAAGATAGCAACATAATATTAAGTCATTTTTAATTAAAATGCCTAATTAAATAAAAATAAATTTAAATTTAAATCAAAAATATGCTTCGATGATATTGTACTGTTTAACTATATAATTATTTTATTTCAGGATAACTTACAAATATAGATAACATGTTTGTGGCTAAACGTTCAAAAAAACGTTTATGGAACAACTTATATGCTAATCGACTATGGCTGGCTATAGTGATCGTACGTATATCTATATAATATTATATTAGGTAAAGTAATGAACGTTAAAATTAAAAAACGAACTTCTTTTCACTTTTAGTCCCTTAAAGTGTATAATATGCAATTTCATTTATGATTTTTAATTATTTTTTATTTGTTATCAACAGTCAACATATTATATGTAATGCATGAAAACGTAATAATAGTTTAAATTTTATATTTTAATTTTAATGTATCTGAATTAAATTAAATTAAAATAATTATACATAATTACTTACACATCTATACTAATTAAAAGTTAACTACCCAATTTTAAGAATTAGTTAAACACATACTACAGATGATAAAACAAGCAGTTTATAAATTAATAACTGAATAACATGCGAATATAAACCAATAAATGTCAATTAATATTTTAATAAAAAACTTGATACGCTAAAGAATTGAAGAAGAATACTGTTTAAAGCTTAAATAAATATTTAATTTCAGTCATAATAGAAATCTAGAGTTTTTAATTTATATAGAAATACCACCAAATAATAAGAGATAAATATTTTGTTAAACCAGTTGAAAATATAATTAATGATTTAGATGGTTTAGCACTCAGCAAGTGTCATTTATTTTTAATTTTTATTAATCGCTCAATTTAATCTGATACCGATAACATAAACTAAAACGAGTAATATCAAATTAATTTTAGATTATATTTTTGATTGTTTTGTCGTTAACATTTTTTGAAGCATGTTTAACACATCATATTACTATAGTAAGTAATGTTTAAAAATAAAAACAAATTCGCCAAAATGTTGTTCTCTGTTTCTAAGATTTAACTATTATTATTTTATTCAGGTAAATGGTTTTTAAATAAAATTAAAAATGGAAAAAAGTTCTAATAACATTTAATTAAATAATTATATTGTTATGTCACGTAGTCCTTCTTTAAAATTACCTATATTGAATTCTATAGAGCTTATAATTATTTCTAAAAATACTTTATTTTTTTTTTAAGTATTAATTAGTATTAAGTAATAAATATGTATTTAAAACGTGTTCTTCATTCTCATGTTTGAAATACATAAATATAACTAAAACACTTATTATTGTTTACGTTCATTATACGAAATTAAAATTAAAACAGATAAAAAACAAAAAACAAAAAAATTTCAAAAACATGAAAATGAAAAGCAAAAATTAAATAAACATTTTATATTAGGAAACGAGGTTGGTTTTTGAAAATCGAAAATGTTAAAAAAGAGATTAACAAAAAACATCAATTATTTCGTTGACAACGAAAACTGAAAAATTAACATTTTTAATTATTCCTGAACTTGTGTCACTGATGTACTATATCATACGTGTATAGATGATGTCGATGACGACGAGTAGCGGTACGGTAGCAGCAGTCGAATCACCGTCGACGATCGCACCCGAACAAACCACCGTTGTCACCACAATCAAACCTAACGTGACCGTGGATTGCGTGGCGCGGGACACGTGCACCGAATGCACTGCCGCTGCGCCTGCATGCAGCTGGTCGTTGGTGCGACAGTCGTGCAACGACACCGCGGCGACGGAAAAACAACTGATCGAAGACTGGGGCGACGACGATCGCCATCACCCGCCCACCAAGCCGGTACTCGATGCCGGGTCGTGTCCACGGTTCAAAGTCAACTACCAAAAACAGACCACATTGGACACGACGAACCGTACAGTGAACGTGAAAGTGTCCAACGACCCGACAGGCAAGTTCAAGGTACTGCTTGAACGGGGCGATGTGTTTTGCCACTTGAACGAGATCAAATACCCCGGAAAGGTGGAAAGCGGCGGGCGACAGATCACGTGCGAGTCCGATTACTCGGAGTCCGTTAACTCGTCGTTGTCGTCAATCGTTTACTTCGCGACCTCCGTCAACAACGTCACGTTGGCGTTCGACGACAAACGCGAACACTACTTGGACTTCACGGTGCCCCGGAACGCTTGTGTCACCGAAAACCAGCTGGGGCCCAGTGACGAGTGCAAGGTGTGCCTTTGGGACGACCACGTGTACCGGTACTACTGCCAGTGGTGTCCGAAGAGCAACCCGTGCACCGGGTCGTACCAGCAATGCGATGTCCGCCGGCTGGCCGATCCCAGTCGCACGACGCCGGTGAAAGACGTGCTGGTCCAGTGTCCGGAAGTCCGGATCGAGTCTATCGAACCGCGGTACGGGTCGTGGGCCGGTGGCACGACATTACGGATCGTCATCAACAACCACCGGACGCTGTCCGAGAACAAGGTGACCGTGGTCAAGGTGGCCAATAGCCGGTGCCTGCTGCCCACCGTGTCCATGGACGGTACGGCGGTCATGTGCACCATACCGCCGACCAACTCGAGTGTGCTGAATCAGGGCCCGGTGGAGGTGACGTACAGGTCGGAGGTGAACAAGTTGCTGCCCACGTTCACGCTCAGGTCCAACCAGAGTTTCTACTTCGTCGAGCCGGTAATAACGAGCGTGTGGCCGTCGTGCAGCCCCGTCACCGGTGGCGCCCGGATAACGATTCGCGGTCGGTTCTTGGACGCCGGAAACACCGTTCGGGTGTACATGCGAGACAACATCACGTGCGCGGTGCAGGCGCACAGCCAGAACGAGGTGACCTGCATGACGGGCGCCAGCGACGGCCCGTCGTCCAGTGCGATCCGTGTCGAGTTCGACCATTACCTGAGCAAGTACGTGTACGATCCGCCGTTCTTGTACACGTCCGCACCCACCGTGGACGGCGGTCAATCGTTCCGGGGCATATCGTCGGGTGGCACCCAACTGTCGGTGCACGGCAAGGACTTGGCGTGCATCCACAACCCACTGGTGCACGTGTCGTACAACAACATCCAGTACACGGGCGGGTGCACGGTGAAAAACAACACGTACATGGTATGCACGGCGCCGACCATTAACCGGCCGGCACCGAACCAGGTGACCGCACTGCAGTTCGGGTTCCAGGCCGACTTCAACAACACCATTGTCAAGATTCAGCTGCCGACCGCCATGCCCGACTACACGCTGTACCCGGACCCGGTGTTCACCGACTTCGAGACTAACGGACGCACCGTTACCGTTTACGGCTTCAACATTGACCAAGGTTACGACCAAGATGTCGACCTGTCGGTGCTGTTCCACAAAACCGGTGTCCCGTGCAATGTCACGTCCGTGCAACCAGATCACATCGTGTGCCGGCCGCCCAAACAGCTGTCGTTCGAGGACCGCGGCGGTCGTTCGGATGACCGTCGGGTAAACAGCTATGGCGAAGACGACGACGACGATGACGACGAATTGCCGGCGGCCCTGGTCAACGACGAAATCATCGTCACCGTCGGCAACTTGGTGTACGAGATTAAGAGGAAGCCGCAGATCCGCCAACGCAGTTTTCCGCTGCGGATCAATACCATCATCTTCGGCGGCATCGCATTGGTGTCGCTGATCATCACGATCGTGGCGGCCATCGTGTATTGCATGAAGATCGCAATGACTATTTCCAACCAACAGACGGAAATGCGGTCGTTGTGCGAACACCTCAACAGCACCGAAAGCGGAATCAGAACTGGAACTGAAACCAGCGGCGCCTGCAAAGACGGCGTCGAGTCGGCCACGATACCGGCCAAAGACAGATCATAGGACAATATTTAGTATTATTAATTATTAATATCACCATGCACGACAATCATCTATAAAATAGGTAGTAGGCATATCGTATACAGAGTAATTCTCTAATCGAACATTACTCTTTATTTCCAAACATTTTAACGTTAATGCAAATATTTTTCTTGTAATAATATAATTTACAGTCGAGTTTAAAGAAATGTTTTCAAAAATGTCAATAGTTTTTTAAAATAATGAGTGCAAGTTTATGATAAAAGAATCATCTGGTATAGGTATTGATTTTCGCCAGTCATCAATAACAAAGTATAAAATATTTATAACAATAATCATTTATCTCTGTAATTTATCATATATTATTAGGTACCTATATAATTTGATACATAAATACAAATAATACAATCATTATGAGAGTAGGCATGGGGAGAATGTGATTGTTACCTTACCTACGTAAACTGTAGACAGTGTACCTAGACTGTTATAAGGATTGTCGCCGTATATATATATAATATGTAACGATATCGTTAGTATGCTATGATCTATAGTCTATATAATAATATTATTGCTATGATAGATTTTCATAAGTGTGTAAAAAGAAAATAATATTTTTAGTAACATAATAATGTAATGCAATTCCTAATATACCTAATATTTTGGGTTAATTGTGGAGTTTATTTAATTACTACATAATTAATTTACAGATCATTGTATATAGATAATATTATAATTATATTTTAATTTTGAAAAATTTTTGTTGTTGATAGACAAATTAAATAATGTTGATACGACGCTCGTATTTTATGAAAATAAATCAATTATTATAATTGTATATATTTTTATGGGTCATGAACTAAGATAATATCAAGATATATATATATATGTATTATATTTAGAGAATAGAGAGAGAGAGAGTGAGAGAGTATAAATTAATTAATATGCCAAAGACTATAATATATTTGATAAATCGCGGTATAAAAATTTATCAATGGGGGTGAGTAATTATGTCGAGCAATAAAATGAACGTTAATACAATTTAAATAAGTAACTATCAGATAGGCGCACATAAGGGGGTGCTTGGGAGTGCTTAGCACCCCCAGGCTTCAAATCAGCACCCCCCGTTTCCTGTAAAATTTATTTCAGTATTTTATCAATCATTTGAAAATTATTGTGATTCATTGGGTTGGAATTTTTTTTCCATTACAAATAGACAATATGTAGCTTATGAATTCACGATTAATAATGTATTGATTGTATTGTATGAATGCACGTTGCACTGTTCCAGTTTTCGTTTAAACGTTGAACATTAACAGCAATCATATAATAATAATTTGCATTATCTAACAGAAAATTAAATCTTGTTTAAAATTAATTAGTGATTAGATATTATTATATATATAATATAAATACATTTTAATATTAATTATAATAATTAAAAATTATTAGAATGCAGTTTACTATGGTATTAGAGGGGTGTGGGGGCAGTCCCCCGCGGATCTGTTTACTGTAAATTATTCCAGCACCCCCTAAATTCACACCCAATGTGCGCCTATGAGTCCTATCTATAATATATTTCATGACAAACGAACATGAGTAAATATAGTATCAGTAGTATCTATATTATATGTTCAGAATGTTAGGATAAAACGGTTTCTTATTCATTGATTTGTTAACTTTTCAATATAATGGATGTCAGATATTTTAAAAACGTTAAACTTGAAACCAAAAATAAATATTTAAACAATTAGTTGTATTACTAGAAATTAAACTTCATCATAATAATTAAATTATTATTATTATTATTATTGGTATATTTTAAATGGATAGGTAACATCTTTAATTTTAATACCTTAAATTTAAAAATGTAATAAATATAGTTTTTCTTTACTAGGAATTAAAGAAAAATTTTATAGTGTACTTGCATTTATTTTTGAGAAGCCTTTGAAAATACAATTCTGGTAATTAAGTAAATGAGTAACTAGTTGATTTTATGACATTTATAATTATTAAAGCTCAAAGTAACGGATTGATGATGTTTAATGTTTATATGTATATTGTGTTTGCATATTGTAATGTAATACAAACTGTTTAATTTTAAATGAATGTTTATGGCAAATTATAATCACAACGTGCACAAATTATTTGCTTAGGTAATGTGTAAAGGCTTTTAAGCATAATAAAATAATAGAATGCCAAACTAAAAAAGAAACTTATTAAAATAAATTAATACCTAAATGTTATTTGTTCTCATTTATTGCCAATTATTCAATAAAAATTAAATATAACTAAAACGGAAAAAATGATATAAGATATTTGGAATGACTCAGCCGTAAAACTGGATCTAATTTAAAAAGTACTTAAAGTTATTTAATAACATTTCTTCCAAAAATTGGTCGATAGGTTTTTGTTGACCAGAATATGGAATTTTAATAAAAAGTAAGTCCTTTGTTATGAAAAAATTTTAATTTAATTCAAGGGCAAATGTTTTAATATTTCATATTACCTGTATTGTTGATTGTATTATTCATTATATACAATGTTTTATTGACTTAAAACAAATTTTTTTTTAGGCTAATTTAATAATTAATTTGAATTTTTAATTATAATAAACATGATTGTGTATAATAAGTATATATTGTTAAATTTTTCAATATTTATTTTTAGTTAGAGTTAATGCACATTAATAATGTAGGTTAAAAATTTTTATTGTTGAAGTCTTCGTATCAAATATAAAAAAAGAAACAAGTCAAATTGATAACTAATTGAATCATAATGAAAGATTTAAATTTACACCATAAAGAAATAATGTTTCAACCATTTAAAAAAAGTTCCCACATTAAAAAAGGACAAATTTTATTTAAGACACTTAAGCAATCAATGAATAAAATATATTATGAAAATCATAAAACATCAAAACAAATAAATTTTGTAAATACATATTTATAAAAAAATAAAAATAAAATTGAAACTTTGTGATGCAATTATTTTTAATAGTTTATTACCAATACAGATACTATAAATTAAAATGACAAAGAAATAGCTAATTTTTGTGTTTATAATGCATTGTCAGTCAGTGAAATAAGAAAATAATCAAATTATAAGTAAAACAAAGCAGTGAAAATCTTGTTTTATCATTGTTTTATGATTTTTTATATTAGAATTTATGATCTATATTTTATTGTAAAAAACACTATAAACCAATCAGTTTAAATTTTTGAAGGAAAAATAATTAAAGGTAAAAATTTTAATAATTGAAACGTGTAGAAAATCAATTATTAATTTAATATTTATAACAAATATTTAAATGGTACATAATATTCACAAATAATTGGTCGCAGATACTAACAAGGTTAAGAATACTTGACTAGAATCGCATGGCGTCAACTAACAATTAAACACTATACAATTTTTAAGTTTTCTTTTTTTAAATATATCATATATGCATGAAAAAGTAGTAAATAGTAGGAAGGTCATTATAATTTTATTCGTCTTGAATATCTCCTCCAAATAAACCCATTTTACTCAGTATCCATTTGAATTCATCGTGCAACACAAGAATTAGAGCTGAACCACTTGATCGAATCATATTAGGCAACATTCCACGATATAAGCCTGATAAACCCTGAGATTTCCATAGTTTAGTAAAACAGTCTCTGGCATTTAAATACAACTTTTCTTCTTGTGCGGTTTGAACAATCAACACTCTACCAATTGTGTCAAGAGGATAGCTAAATAATTGTGACAAGTAAGTGGAAACCTACAAAAATCAATTACAAAGTTTTTACTGATGTAATACTAAAAATTTTAAATTAAGTTTATAATGAATATCTGACCTGAGCGGTTGCAAAACGTATCCAAAATGGTAACTTAGCATCTTTTTCTTCATTAGAAACTAGACTATTACTATGATCTAGTATAGTTTTATTAAAACTATAATAAGCTCCAAAGTAAATAGCCTTGTTTATGACCATTCCATTAGCTGCAATAGCAAATCCTATACATAAAAGTTATTATTATAATAAATGTTTACATAGCATATAAATTTTACTACAATCAACTATCAAGGTTTACCTGTATACAAAGCTCGGACACCATTTGTATGAACAGTTTTTTGTATACAATCCAGTAATCCAGTATATTCACGATCAACCAAGGGTCCAACATGGGCAGCTAAATGAGTTTGACAGAAAAGAAGTGGATAGAACATACATAAGGTGGTTGCGCCAGATAATCCGCCAGATATTAAGCTCAAAGCAGTATGACTCCAGCCATTATCTTTATGTTTTATATTGCTCAAAAGTAATTTTAAATAAAATGTATTAAGTCCAAACATAACTGCCTGTTGAAATAAAAATACATACACAATTAATACATTTATCAAAAACTTATTAAAAAAAAAAAAACTTGTTAATTAAATTTACATATAATTATGAATATTATATTTTAAAGTACTGGACACTATTTTTGCACAAGATAAAATATCTTATAAACTGTTTGTAACTTTTACTAATTGCATTACTTGTATACAGATTGTAATTAATTCTTTTTATTTTTAAAAAAGATTTTTAATCATTAATACTTCATTATTTATGTTATTACAAGATAATTCCAAATGTATTTTTCCTTTTGTTTTAACTAAATAAATTATTGATTGTGACAATAATTTAAATAATATTTAATCTTTTGATAACCAGAGTAATAAACACTCTAGGTAATGCAATTTGATAAAAAATATTAAGTCACAACCAGTAGCGCACAGTAGATTTTCCACAAGGGTGTCAAAAATATTTATTTCGAGGTAGCCATCCACCCAATCAGTCAAACCTGAGTTAAGGCATAGTATAATTTTTATTTTTAAATGTTTTTGGTATAATATTAAACAAAATTTCAGTGAAATAACATCTAAATTCACTCAGAACTAGTTATCCACTCACCCACCAATTCTTTGAGGGTTACCAGTCAACACCCCTGACCCTCTCTATGTACGCCACTGGTCATAACATAATACACCTGCTAATAATTGAAACTATTAATCCATAAATATATAATAAAATCAAAATATTAATTCATACTATTTATTAATATAAAGATATTATAGATACCTGAGATGGAACAAATCTCAAAATGTTGGTAAAATTTCCAAACCATAGTGCCCGTAAACCTTGTTCACGATAAATTTGATTTAAAGTTGTTAAGATTCCTGGATGATAATGTAGATTATTTTGTCCATTTACAATAGATGTATAATGAACCTAAATTAATAAAAAAAAATATCTATATAATATTGAAAAGGTTTTATAATTTATAATTAAAAATTATTATAGATACTTAACAATATATGCCTCAAATAAAACAATAAATTCTAATTTAACATTTGAAATGAAAAACATGAGATTAGGTAAAATATACATTTTTTCTGAATGACGACAGTTGATAACTTTTTTATCAGCTTTTAGTTCTTACATATTTATCATTCTATAGTGCAGCTAACAAGTATTTTAATAGCCACCACTGATATATAATATAATATGAAATAGTATACTATAGATATATTTTATCTACAAATCTAGAGATTTTTTAATGTAGGAAACTTATTATTTTTAAAACTATTTGATGATGTTATTGAAAATATTTGTTTATATAATTTGAAGTTATTACTTGTTATTAACTTTAAATGATAATTGAATTTTAATTTCAAATTCCATAATTCAATATTATAAAGAGAATTTCAATGTATAAAATCAAATTTTAAATGTGTAGTTAATAAGTTAAAAAGTTATAAATTATAAGTATTTAAAGTTTAAATGAGTGAAGTAGTAGACTAACATTTTTTGGGATACACATGACATTACTCCAATTCTCTCATCAAAACTTTAATTACTAGTTTAAAATTTAATTAATTTTATTAATTCAAAAAATTTATTAAAGTATAACTTACCTGAGAAATAATTTTAACCCTATCAAACGGAGCAACAACTGATCGTGCTATCGCTGTGGCAACAGCACTGGACACTGCGTCCAAACCGAATTCATGGAGACTAGAGCGTTCTTTATCTTTCTTCTAAATAATATAAGAGAAATATTAATTAATTTTAAAGGATAGGTATATTAAATATAATTAATTTTACTTATTTACATTAATATGAGGTGATTTATTATTCAGTAATAGAACCCACTCATTTCAGTATAAATATTTTTTTTTGTTTTAAGTAAGTATAAGCATAACTTGAAGTAATATTAAAATATATAACTACCTATCTACATTAATTATTTATCATGAAGTCATTACGTTATCAACATACCTACATTAAACAACTCTGTTTCAAATTTGGTTCTGGAAAGTTAAATGGTGTAATGAATATATATTAAAAAAAATTATTGAAACAATTAGTATAGGCTAATGTTGATTGATTTAATAATTTAAGGATTCATTTCAATTTATATGCTAAAATATATAGGTATTTAGTTTTTTGTCACGGTCACATAAAAATAATGTAACATTGCAATGATTACATACTTACTATAAATAAACATGAGATTCATGATTGAGAAATAATGATTTTACTCTTTAAACAATAAGTGTAAACAATATTAAATCATAGTTGAAAAATGTCAACAAATGACCTCCAAACATGTAACTTAATATGATGGCTAAGAATTGTATTTTTTTATTATACACCGATATTAGGCACATATGTAATATAAATTTATATAGCGTACATATGTAAACTAAATATATTTTATTTTTAACATTAATTTAAAAAAGAACATTTTTAAAATAAACAGAATTGACATACAAAAACCTTTTATAAAATAACCAACCTGTACAAAAAGAAATGAGTACTTAAAGTACTAAATAATTAGGGATCGATGAAAACCTGATTTTTGCTTCTATGCATACAACTAAGGGTTATTTGTTTAAAAAACATAAATTGCATTTATACACTTTAATGAAAACATAGGAATTTATGGCCATCTCATTCAAAGCCCCATGTACCTAATATTTGCTACCTAACAATTATTTAAAATTGTGGCACTTTGTATAATCAGTTATCAGATTATAGATAGGTACTCACTAAATCCGTAATTTAGCCTTTATGTAAACCAGTGTACGTTAATAATGCACAGACTTGGATGTCTAAGCGGTAGTCCAGTAGTAGGCTACAGGCCATATCTTAGTAAATGTCCCCCGACGGGTACATTTCTGAGTTGGTATTTGACACGGATCAGTTGATGTAGGCTTTGGTAGAAGAAGGTGGTGCCGGTCGAGGTGATAATATAAAGTTACAATGTTTCAAAAATGATTCACACTGGCTATTTTCTTCTAGGAACACGATGTAATTTTATAGGTAACAATTGAGACGACGCGATTCGGACGCACCAGAGAGGTCGGACTAGCACGAGTGGTGAAAATGGAGTTGCGTTTTACAAATAATATAATTAAAAAATAAATTATTATAAAATTCGTTGCCCAACGAAGACTCCTGCGACACACATTCGGCACCCAAGGTCGTCGTTATTTATAAAACCATTTCTCCCACTATGATTCGAAATAAATACATGTAAACCAGGCAATGGTCACTGCCGGTCATAACAAAATAATATAAATTATAATATTATTGTTATTATCTACAATAATGACACGGAAAAATAATTCGTACACTAATAAAGGTAATTCTTACGACACTGTTTCTTTCATAACATCATAAATATTAACATACATTAATGTTTACTACAACAACAATAAAAACAAAAGTCAACTACTGGCAAAGTGGCAACCGGAACGAGTTACAACTGCTTGTAACAAGCATAACATCAAAATATTCTCCACCACCTAATGCCTATAGTTGTAATGTACCAGTATGGTCTTATCATTTATCAACAACAAAAAGTTGTGAATTATCATTATTCCAAAGACTCGGTGCCTTCACCAATGTGGGTGATTAGTGGATTTGCAATTGTCACCGGTCTAAGCCATACTTATACCGTATTCCTCTATTGATATTTGATTTGTCAATGAGTAATATAAATGTCTTAAATCAAAATATATTATCCAAAGAATTATTGCGACATTGGTAAGTCGAAAACATAGTGGTTTTAATTTATGTGACGTGAGAACGGCATAATAAGAGGTTTTATTTTTTTTTAATACGCATCGCCAATTTTCACAACGTCTTTGCGTTTGCGGCGCCGCGAATACTGAACCAGCTGATCACAAAACGGATCGATTAGTGTTATCACGATGTTGTCTGTAGTGGTAACCAATAGATATGAATATCTATTGCCGTGGTGGTAACTCACTGCTGTGTTGAGTGTGGTGTGATGATATACGGAGTGCGGATAACAAAAGGTTTGAGTTTTTGACAAGTGACAACATATATTTGCCATTTGGTGTGGATGTGCGATTCCTGTGATCCTGCGTTATATTCGTGTTATACTCATATAACTGGACCACCAGAAAGCGATACGACGTGTGTGTTTGATCAACTTTTTATTGTCGTCCAGCCAGTAGGATTCGGGAACCCGTTCGAGCGAAACGTCCGACGCCACAGCAGATGACGACTTAACGGGTACGCGACTCACTGAAATTGGCATGTCGCTTGACACCGACGGTTGTTCGCAGCAGAAAGAGTACGATTACCTGCTGAAATTCCTCTTAGTCGGCGACAGTGATGTGGGTAAACAAGAGATGCTCAACGATCTCGAAGACGGATCATCTGAGTCACCATATTGCAGCGGAAGCGGTAATTATACGCACTTATTTCTAATATTAATGTCTGAAAAATCAATCGTTATACATTATTTCATAATCTCACAATTTAATATCAAACGTATATTTTTTAGTACAATACTATAGGTACTCATATTTTGTAGTAATGACCAGATGCAGACAAACTGAATCCTAATAATTTTTTATTCTATATTTTTGCTTAAAAAAAGATGTTTCTATTCATATATTAAGTAACTTCCCTCTTAGCATATTTTTGATTTTATCTATAGATATATTTATTGTAATATCTACCTAACTATCTACATATAATTATTTTGTATCTAATAATTGGATTATTATGCATTTTATTTGTATGAACTAATTCCATTTATAAGACTGGATTTCTAGGTATCTAAAATAATATAAAATAAATCCAAATTGTTATTTTATTTGACATTATTGTATAAAAACTTTCATGTTTAACATATATCAGGTATAAAATTACAAAAATTTAAACAGTTTAAACTTTACTATCTATTAAAATTAAATTTTTCTAGATAATATTTTAAGTTGTATCATTAAAATAAAAATCCAATTTGATAATCATTAATTATATTACCTATGAAAAATGTACAGTAATGAATAATATCTATAATAAATTAACATCAATATTATATTAAGATAATATATTTATACAGGTTTTTTTAAATATTTGATATATTAATTAAATTTTCATAATCTAGATTTTAAGGAAATAAGAATCGTTAATTATTAAGTTCAATCATTCTTGTTTACAGCATATAAAACTACAATTATACTCTTGGATGGTAAACGAGTAAAATTGCAACTATGGGATGCATCAGGTCAAGGGCGTTTATGCACAATAATCAGATCTTATTCAAGAGGAGCACAAGGTGTTTTGTTAGTTTATGACATAACTAATAAATGGTCATTTGATGGATTAGACAGATGGTTAAAAGAAGTAGAAGAGGTATGTATGGTAATTTAATTTTAACTGGTACCTGTTATTTAAAGTTTTATAATCACACATTAGAAATTTATTTAAATAATAAAAAAAGCATGATTAAATAATTAATATATTTGCATGCACCTAATATATGTTATATGATAATATTGCTATGAAATTCAATTGTTAATTAGAGTTATAGCTGTATTGTCTATTTATGTAAAAAGAAAGAAATATTCTACCCAAATTTATTACAAGATATTGATTATTTTACATTCTTAGTTTTGATTTAAGTGCTTTAGTAGGTTTCTTTTATTATTATTATATAACAATACACAATTTTAAGTTTCTTAAATTTGATTATCTTTGAATTATAATCATTATATTTAGTATTATAGATCATTAACTATAAAACACATTGAATTTAACATATTTATCTTGTTTAAAATATCTATATAATATGTTTGTGAGCAATAGTTTAACAACATATTGTATTTATTAAATTTTTCACTTATCTAATTAAAGTACAATCACAGTCATAACAAATTACTTCTAAACAAGTGTATAACCTTAAAACAACTATGATAAGACTAGCCTAGTATTGAGATTTGTTTTCTCATTGGTACTTACTCTTAAAAAATATTAAAATATAATTAGTAGACCGGCCTTTCTTATGTATCAAGTATTTGACATCATTGAACATTTTTACTTTTTTTTCACAGAGTTCTTTTAAATGCTTCTTTAAGTGTATCCTTATAACCAATTTTTTATTCTTTGTTTATGATAAGGAGGGAAAAAGAAGTGTTGTGTTTAAGTATTATGGTTTTTCAGAAAGCCATTTGAATAATTTTATGGTTTTTTTTGTTTCCAAAGCTATGTAAAGTATTATTAATAATAGCTTAAACTTAATAAATTATATAATTTACTATCATGCATAATTAAACGTGTACCTAGTAATTTGGGAATTAATACTATTATTACTATTAACATAAATTTAGAATTCTTCCTCAACTATATTCATTGATATATGCAGTAGAATATGTATAAATAAATTAAAGTTGCTTGTGTGGGTATGATGTGATACAATATTAAGACTGGAATTAATAAATTAACAAATTAAATAGTATTAGTATTAGGATTATGATAGCTTAACAATAGCTTACAAGTTAAACTGGGTAAAGATAATATAATCCATCTTAATAATAATGAATCAAAGTAAAATCATACAGATTATATATTAGTATAAATTTAAATCAGATACAAGATTATAGACTTGGATATTGTTATTATACATTCAATAAAATTTATAATTTTGATAATTTTTAATTTATATAGCATGCACCTGGAGTTCCAAAAGTCTTGGTTGGCAATCGCTTGCATTTGGCATTTAAAAGACAAGTTAGTGTCAAAGAAGCAGAATCCTATGCCTCAAAACACCATATGACTTTGTTTGAAGTTAGTCCACTTTGTGACTTCAATATTAGAGAAAGCTTTACTGAATTAGCTAGGAGAGCATTACATAGAAATGGAATGGAAAGACTCTTACGATCAAACAAAGGTTATACATCAAAATTATATTATGCTTTGAATTTTAAAATTAACATTTTTTTTTTACATTTTTACTTTAGTGTTAAGCCTTCAAGAATTATGTTGTCGTGCTATTGTAGCAAGAACTACTCAGTATGGCATAAACCAGTTGCCTCTACCTGTAACAATTAAGTCACACTTAAAGTCATATGCATTGACTAGTTTCTCAACTTTATCTATGTCATTACCACGTAATGCTTCGGCGTCCAAAAAAATTAAATTGCCTTCCAACAATACGGGTGTATCAAGACAACATGGTCACCCTGCACATTCTCTATCACATCACCATCATCATTTGAAAAATACACCATTGAGCATTTCAACATCGTACATTACAAGGAACTCTTGTACAATTTCATGACTTAAATCATAAAATTAGTAATATGCCCACTGATTTAAGTTTATTTTAAAATGTTTAGTAAATGTATTCTTTTATGTTAAAGAACGCATAATATGTAATTTTTTTATTTGATCTGTGTTAAAAAAATTAATTTTTTTGATCCGAAAAGTAAGTTTACATATCTGTTAAGATAAATTGTGTAAATCAGTGTGTTATTTTATTGTTTATAACTCAAAAGCAATAATTGTAAAACTATGGTTATTTATAATCTCTTATTAGAGGTACTTTAATCATCAGATGACTGTATTTATCAGTGAACATTTGTAAATAACATAATTATGTAACTCGCATCTTTAGTCATTTTATTTTTGCATTTGTGAATTCTAACTATTTTTTTTTCTTTTATAACTGTTTTTGATGATTTTTTATTATTACTATTATTTTATATGATTATTTTTATTATTGTTTATGAAAAATTATGACAATTATTTTAATACTTTTAACATTGATAAATAAACGTTGAAGTCATCATTCCTATAATATATAATTCATTATTGATAACATATTTTTATATTTACCTATACTATCCTTTTAAGTAGTTCTAATAAAATACAAATGTATAACATTTGAGTGCCATTTTTAAATAATAAAAGCTATGCTCAAAACAATAAAAGTATACAGTTATACATATTAAATTTAAAATTTAAGAACAGAAAAATACACTATAATAAGAATTATTTTTTATTTACCCACTAATAAAGAAATAGTAGTTTTTTGTTTTAAAAAAAATAATATAAACATTGTTTTAATTAACCTTTGAATATTAAATGACTTAGGTATCATTTTTTAAAAATTATTATTTAAATGTATGTGTTGGAAATACTTGTCAATTAGTTTAAAAATGGACACAAGCATAAAGGGACGTACAAAGAAAAGTTTTGGAGACAGTTTTTGAAAATTAGTTATTAAAAAATAGAACTTTTTTTCACAAACACAATGTAATATTATACCTGTTTAAAAATTTAATATAACAATTAAAATTAAAATTGAATAAGTAATTAATCATACATTTCGGCGGGAGGGGGGGGGTGTTTGAACACCCAAAACACTCCTCTGTGTACATTCCTGCAAGCATAGATTTGTAATATTATTTATATTATATAAGCTTGCAAGTTATCTATGACTTACTATGGTCGTTCGTTTATGATTCCTTTCGCGATTAAAATCTGACCCCTTCATCGTTCATACTAACGGTCGTGACTGAACTATGCATACCTATGCGCAGTGCACACGTGTATAGTTATACAATTATATGAATATAGATATGCGTGTTTATTATTATTTCATAAATTTCGTAATTATATATTTACCCCAACGTCCGCAATATCAAAACACACACGCATGCACACTAAAAATGACCCTTTCCATGTAATTTAGTAAAGTATATAAACAGCAATAGGAGTCAAACTTTTTTACCACGTTAAAGTTAGATATGGTTTTCTACTAGAATCTTGCCGTATAACTTTAAAATTACGTCTAATTGATGGACTTTTGTTATAACTTAAGATTTTACTATAATAATGGAATCAAGAATTATTATAACTGAGAACTTTTTACTTCATTTTTTCATTTATTATATGTATATTAACTAGCGGGTTACCCGTTGCGGCTTTGCCAGTGAAATTTGAATAGGAATACAATAAATATAACGATTTATGATAACAATGTTGCTATAACACTATCGTTTTGACCATACGATAATATAATACTCATGTTAAGTTAGGTAAGTAGGGAAATATACCCTATGTTGTTATGAATTATGAAACAAAGATTTTATTTTCATTATTCTGGGTTTTCCAACAATGGGAAGACAACTAAAATGAATAAATCTTAGACTTTTGTAGACTATTTCATTGATTATTCGTCCCAATGAATAATTTTAAAATTAATTTATGAAACTCATAAAATTAAAAATTATAGGTAGTATATTATGCATAACGTATGTGTACTTTTTATCAGAGTGCAATTCCAGGTGATATATTTTTAACGCAGAATTCAATATTCATTAACCTAAATTAAAGTAGCTAAATTATATTATTAATGGGTATAAAATAAAAATAAAATATAAAAGTATGGATAGGTACTATATTTATTATCGTAATGAAAAATTATTGAAACTAGTTGAATTACCCGTCGCTGCCGAATTACAGTAAAAAAAATAAGATTTTTAAATAATTATATAATATATATAAACATGAACAATGAATATATAGTTATAATAATACGACAATAATGTTTAGGAAAAACATAAAATGGAAATTAATTTAAGTTCTTAAGTTTTAATTAAAACTATACGCATAATATATTCATATGGAAAAAACTGCAAATATTTCACCAACACAAACAAATTAACAGTTAAATGAAAATTTTAATGTATTTATCATTTGCGTTCTACTTATTATTATCATAGAATATCTTTAAAAACTATATATACATATTCATTGTATCTTTTTTTGTTTTTCGGTATTATTTGTATTATTAATTTTTTTAAATATCTAACTCCGAACATGACTATATAAAGTTGACCGTGAATAAATACAGGTTGGGGCAAATACAACCCTACTTTATCCAACTTTTGTCTCTGTGCTTTGTTTATTGTCATAGCAAAAACAATTCTTATTGGAAAGACCGAGGTGAAATGTCTAGAGCCCAGTACATCGTAGCACTATGAGTCACGAGGGCATACAGGACGGTGTCCGTCGAAGGATCATTATTCCTAGCCTCCATGGTTCTGGTCAACCTGGTAGCCATCGAAAGGGCACGGATCTACCGAGGTCTTGACGACCAGGAGGACGAAATAAGGAAAAATATCAAAAAACAAGAGAGGACTATCAGTTAACAGTCTGGAAAGCTATACAAGCTCTTACCGGACGTTGGGCGCTGGTTAGCGAAGCCTCCGCTGAGCCAGACGTTTCACCTCACTCAGACGCTTATAGGCTACGGATGCTATAAGGTTTACTTGAAAAAATTCAACTGCGACAACTCGGAAGACGACGTCGAGCACACGACCTTCCTTTGCTGGCAGTGGAAACTCGAACGCGAGAGGATGCGGTCGTTACTCAATAGTCGTCTACCGACGTTGGAAGATGTAACTATATATTAATGTAAATTCGTCCAGAATATCGAGTTTTTACTGAAGTATGGTAGTCATCCTGTCTACTAAGGAAAACGATTAAAGGGCCAAGGAGGAGAAAGATGCAGTACCAGGAAGGAGGTAGAAGAGACACAGGAGTAACCGTTCATTGGACATACGTACCTGCGAAAGTCGTCGGAAGTGCCACCGACCCTTGCTCTTCTATCCTCTCTATGGCATTACGGGTGAATAACGATCACGGCATCGTAACACTTTGAACGGAACCACCAGAGTGGCGCATTCCGGTTGGCCCACCAAGACCTGAGGAAGACATCCAGCAAAACTCAACAATGTAACTGAGAACTATAATGGGGTAAGGCGGAAGATTGTTCCGTCTATTCCAATATGACTTGTAAATACTGTAAGGGAGTGAGTCGGGGGATTGTCTTTTCTCCACTCCCAAGTTGGTTGTAAATATTGGTATTGATTTCAAATAGCGTCGCGGAAGCAATGCGAAAGCAGTTCCTGTGGCGACGTCGATTTAAACCGCAAAAAGAGTTTTGAATCCACAGGAAATATATATAATATTTGGTATATACATAAACTCTATGAAAAATAATTAAATTCATTGGCATGTATATTTGCACCCATAGTAGCAGAGTGTATATATACACTCTATCGCATATATATACTCATGAAAAGTATATAATATCTCTGGAATAAAGATTAGCATCAATAGTTAATTCCATATATTAATCAAATATACAATATTTGGGAAATACATACTCTCATTGGCATAATATATTTACCATGGCTAAGTACTCAGGTATGTCAGCAATAATACTAAAATCCATTCTAAAAAGCGTATTCATGGAATAATAAACAAATCTTAATTTATTATACGGTAATATGACGTCAGCCGGCAAGGATTTTTATCGGCCAAATCTTGAAACTAGTTACAACTGTGATAAAAGTTCCTGCCAGCTGACGTCATGAAATGCGTATCATAGAGTTGCTGACATACCTAAGTATTTAGCCATGATATTTACATTCTTGGATAATATTTAAATTCTTTGGAAAATATAAAAACTGCTTGAGAATTATGTAAGCTCTTTGGAAAATATAAAAAATTGATTGAAAATTTTATATTCTCTTAGGAATATTAAAAAAAATTAAAGAATTATTTAAATTCTTTGGAAAATATAAAAATTGATTGAAAATTTT